GTGCATTATTCTGCCCACCACACTCTCCTAGGCAAGTGTCTTGTTCATTCTGGGTCTTCCAGAGTGAGTAGAAGTTAAGAAATATTTTCGAGTGAGTGGGTGAATGAATGAACGAATAGCTGCCCAGACCCTGGGGTGGGCAGGACAGCGGGTAAGCAGGGAGAGACCTGGGTGTGACCGGAGCTGGCCCCCTCCGAGCCGGCTACTTCTGCCAACTCAGCTTTGCCGACAGTCTGGGCCTCTGGCCCCCCTGAGCTGCAGGTGATGGGGCTCCTTCTCCCCGGGGCACCGGGGGCAGTGGGTGGACCTGCAGCCTATGCAGATTTCCCCCCGAGCCCAGGGAGGCTCTGGGCTCAGAACCAGAGGAGGGTGGAGGCTGGAGACCAGGTGAAGACCCACGGGGGCAGCGCGCAGGGGAAGCTAGCGGAACACCCCTTAGGGCCCACGCTGATTCCCTGAGCCCAAAATGTCTGTGTCCTTGACTTTTGGACCAAAAGTAGACTCCACACGCCCACTCATAGGAACAAACAAAGTCCTAGTTGCTGTCTTGGGCCTCGGGGGTCTTAGTTACCTTCGCAGCCCAGGGGGGTCCGCAGCCCTGTCCCACACTGCAGCTTGAGAGGCTGGAAGGAGCCTGGCTTTGGGGTCACACAGACCTGAGCTGTGGTCTTTGGGAAGCTAAGCCTTTGAGCCTGTTTTTTTCGATTATAGAAGGGAAATAATAATAGCTCCCTTTGCAGGATTTTGCGGGAATTAGAGAGAATACAGAGTAAACAGTGAACCTAAACCAATTAAGACCTAATAACTGGTAGCGGAGGTTGGGCTTCTAGGCCCCATTCTGACATATACCGGCTGTGTGAGCTTAGACAGGTGGTTCACGCCTGGGCCTTGGTTTTTTAATCTGTAAAATGGATAGAGCAACAGGGACGGTTGTCATGAGGATTGAAGGAGGCCGTGGATGAGAAGTGTGGGGTGGTTATTAGTCCTGTCACTGCTCCCAAGCCTCAGGGGGAGATAGACGCCTTTCCCTGGGTGTAGGTCCCAGAACTGTCTGACTCCCAGAGACCAAGCTCCTGGGCAGTCACAGAGCAGGACCATCTGGCCTGCTATACCACTCTGCCCTGGACTTCAAGTGGCTAGTGTGAGGCCAACAGCTGTCGCCTCCAAGTGGCATCTTTGGGGCACAAAGAGTGGTGGACAGGGTAGGACACACTGGCTCATTGTCCCTGAGGCTAAGACCCGGCAGCTGTGTGTGATGGGGGCCCCTCCTGACCCCCTCCACCTCCCAACGCTGCAGCTTGGGCGGCTGGAAGCAGCCTGGCTTTGGGGTCACGCAGACCTGAGCTGTGGTCTTTGGAAAGCTCACCCAAGCTTTGAGCTACTCAGCTGCCAGGCCACCACTGCTGGGCCTCACAGCAGCACCCCAGCAGCACCTGAACAAACCTGGAGCCCCGGTTCCCCATGGCCCCTTTTATCAGGGGCCCTTAGGAATAATGAACTCAAAGAAGGGGTGGCACCGTGGACCTAGGGGCAGGACACCTGAGTCCTTGAACATCGAGCCACACACATTCCCAGTGTCTCACCTGGAGCAGGTGTGCGTGCGTGCGTGGATGTGTGTACCAGCAGACACATCCCTTATCTCATGGAAGTCAGGCTCTGTCCCCCAGGGAGGTGTGCATTGGTCCTGCTGATGCAGAATCTGGGGCTCAGAGAGGTGATTATAGGCTGGTGACAGACGAAGCCAGGATTTGAACCCCGCCCTGCCTGACACCACAGTCTTCACCCTTTCCACAAACGCAGGGTGCCCAGGTGGGGAGTAAGGCGGATGCTCGAGATAAAAGGGAGGCGGGCATGGCCACACTCTACCCAGCAAAGCACCGGCTGCCATTGATCCAAGGCCAGGGGACGGGCACGAGGACCTGGCCAGGCCTTGTAGCCAGAGAATTCCAAAGCTCCCCTCACCCCCACCCCTGCTTTTCAGAGCAGTACATTTATAAAGGGAAGGAGCTGGATGGTGATGATTCAGGAGATTTGCTGCCAGAGCTAAATGAGAGCCTCATAATGATGGTGATTAAAAATTAACGCCACTGTTTGTGTAGTGATTTGGGTGTCCACTTTGCACCCATGAATTAATTAAAAAATGAAAACACCAGTGCTTGGGATGATAAATTCCAGGGCACAGAGGAGCAGACTGAGGTTCCAGAGGGGACATCCCAGGACTGGGGTGCCACCTTCTGCCTCTGCCTTCATGCATTGGCAGTGGGGGTGCTGGTCACCTTGAGAGCCATGAGGTGGGAGAGACGGGGCACCTCCCCCGGCCTCACAGAGACTCTGCAATCATCACTCCTCTGCTCTTCTGTTTGCTCGTCTGCAAAAGGGCTGAGATTTTCTGAAACTAAATTTCCAAGTGAGAAGGTGTCCTAGTGTCCTCGGGCTGCTGAGACTAATGACCACAAACATGGTGGCTGAAAACAGCAGAAACTTATTCTGTCACATCCTGGAGACTAGAAGTCCGAAGTCAAGGTGTCATCAGGGTTGGTTTCTTCAGGAGGGGGATCTGTCCCATGTCTCTCTCCTGGTCTCCGGTGGTGGCCGGCAGTCCTTGGGGGTCCACGGTACTGGTGTAACTCGTCTCTGTCTCTGTCTTCACATGGCCTCTCTGTGTCCCTTCTGGGTCTGTGTATCTGAAATACCTCTTTCCTTTCTCTTACAAGGACACCAGTTATTGGGTTCAGGACTCAGCCTAGCCCCAGGATGATCTCATGCTGAGCTCCTTGACCGAATTACACCTGCAAAGACCTTATTTCCAACAGTCGCATTCACAGGTACGAGCGTTGAGACTTGGACTTTCTGGGGCAGCCAGTTCAATGCACTACAGAACTTACGTTGAATGAGCAAAAGCCATGAACACAAGGTGCGGTCGTTCTTGTGCCAAACTGATGAGGAACCACCGGGAGTAGGGGATCCACCTTCCGCTGTGCAGGCACCTAGAAGTGGGATGGGGGGCTCAGGTGGAGGGTGGGACCTTGACCAGGAGAGCAGCTGGGGGTCTCCTTCATGCTTACCATGAACCTTGGAGGCCACCACAGGCCCAGAAAGCACCTCAGGCTGCATCCCTCGGGCTCTCACTATATTTTTTTAACCATCCCCTAGGCAGCGTCCGGCCCCGCCTTCCCCTCAGTCCACTCCCGGGGGCTGTGTGCTGCTCTCCTCCTCCGAGCCCTTCCGGGGCTCCCAGGAGGTCCCCTCCCAGCTCTCCAGCCTGGCCACCTCCACTCCCCTTCTCTAGCCCTGCGTCTGCCACACCAAACCGCGACCGTCTCCCCAGCCTTCACGTTGCCCCCCGCCCTGTGCCTTCGCACTGATGGCCCCTCCCCTGGGACACTCTGCCACATCAGCCCAGACACCCCCCTTATCACTCTACTGTATCATTATGTGGTTAATTGCGTCTCCCATTTGGCTGGTCCGTCCCCAAGGCAAGGACACGGTCCCCAGGACAGAGAGGCGCAGGGGAAGCTCTGGGAAGGACACCGTCAGAGGCCTGGCTTTGACTTCCCTCGTTATCACCCTCTGGGCCTCATGCCCTCGGCCTTGATGGGCCTTGATTTCCTCATCGAGTCTGCCCTGCCAAGCTGGTGCAGCCTCGAATGAGCCTGTGTTGACAGACGGACTTATTCTCGGGCTACTAATCAACACACGTGAACAAGGCCAAGAGGAGCAAGGCTCCTGCCCCAGGGACCCCTCGTCCCTACCCTCTCGCAGTCCTGGAGTCCTGCCTCCCCCACAGTGTTGTCAGAGGCCCAAGCTTCTGGAAACTCTTGGATCGCTTCCCTGCCCCTCCCAGTCCTGCCTGGGCTCCAGGTGTCTCTCTCTCCAGCCATTTTCTTTTCTGATCTGGAGTTCAAAAGAACAACAAATCCAGGAGCCACAGCCGCAGAAAGCAAAAGCCAGCAGGCTCATTCACGTCCTCAGCCGCGGGCCTGCAGGGCTGCCCACCGCTCCCTGCTGTGTCGGGGCTCCCGGGAAGGAGGACGCTTGGGTTCTAGGTCCATGGACATCAAAGGCCAATGCGACTCTGGGAACAGCAGCTCCAGTTAGAGGCAAGGCCAGTTTGGGGCCAGAGCAGGGACAGTGGGGAGAGGGAGAGGGGGGAGCCCAGTCCAATTAGAGCCCTAAAAAAAAAAACGCTCCTTTGAAAGCACTTTCAGATGTCCACAGCCCTGCAGGCAGGGGTGGTGTAATAATAATAAAACAACATTTGCATAGAGATTTCGTTCACAAAGCACTTTCTCAGGGGTGGGGAGGAGCCGGGGTGGCCCAGTGGAATCCTGGCTGAGAGGCCAACCGGCCTTGGGTTGGTTCCACCCTCCAGCCAAGCTTGTGACTGTGGGCGAAGTAAACAAAGGGCTATTCATCCAACTATTTCCGATTTCTCTGGACTTCATTCCTTTTCCCCTTCTCCCATGAAGAGCTCACTTGGGGCCCATCACTCAGGCCAGAAAAGGGGTGTCAGGGGTCCCAGAGAAAGGGGTTGGCTGGACTTTATGGGAAGAAATGGGGAGGTTGGGGGGGGCTTCCTCCCTCCGCACCCCTCCCCACCCCCGTCCCCGCTGGCCCCCAAGCTCTGGCAGAACCACAACAGCCTTGCTGGGGTTGGTTTGTGCAAGTCTTCATTTGCTAACCTGTGGCTGTGTCTTCACGTACCAAGTACGAGCCCAGGTTTGGTAACGTCTGCGCACATGCTGTGTTCCCGTTCGGTAACGTGCAGAGATAAGCAGTGTGTGGGCCTTTGCTAATCCCTCCCCACCGCGTGGGACTTAGGTACACAGTGCGGGGGTGAGGGCCCTGGGGCGTCTGCACCTGCATGGGGCGGAGGGGTGAGGCAGCCGGGCCCTCTCCTGTGCAGCCCTGGCTGGAGAGTCTCCTGCCAGTTACCTAGCCGCTGGCATCGGGGTGAAGGGGGAGGAATCAGACCCTGGCCCCTTAAGGGCCGCCGGAGAGCTATATAGGGTCCACCTGCAGGGGCTCTGGCAGCTTTCAGCGGCCCCAGCAGGAGACGGAAGATGCAAGAGGTCATTGCAGGGCTGGAGCGGTTTACCTTCGCCTTCGAGAAGGATGTCGAAATGCAAAGGGGCACTGGGTTCCTGCCTTTCCAGGGCATGGACAGTAAGTGGGGCAGGGTTGCGGCCGTCCCCCACCCCACCCCGCCTCCAGCCTCTTCCGAAGGCCTCTCTGCTCAGCTCCCTGACGGCGCAGCCCCTTCTTTTTTTCTCTCCTATGGCTGCCGGGTAACCCATTCTCCAGACAGAGAAACAGAGACACGGAGAAAAGGCAGATTGAGAGAAGCCACGCGGGCCTCCCTAGCTCTTGAGCTGGCCTTGAACCCCTCCGTCTCCTCTGTTTCAGAGCTGAGCTTTCAGTGTGGGGGGCTGGAGGCCTCCAAGGGCCCACAGGCCCGAGCCCAGGGGAGGTTTAGGTGGGACTTGCAATGGGGAGGTGCACAGGCTGTGGGGAAGCTGCCTTCTCCCTCCCCTCCCTCCTCTCCCTCCCGCTCCAGAGTCGGGCTCAGCTGTGTGCAACTTCTTCGCTAAAGGGCTCTGTGAGAAAGGTGAGTTAGCGGGCGGGGCGTGGGCTGTGTGTGGAATCTGCACCTGGGGAGGGGAAGCTGCGATGGGGCAGAATTTTAGACTTGCAGGTAGACAAAGGACGCGTGGGTGGTTCCACCAAGCACCTCACCTCCCGCTGAAGACTTCGCTGTCTCGGCGGCACCTGTACTGCAGGTAACCAGGGCTGCCTGGGAGGGGACATTCCCTTCCACCCGCCCCGCTGGGGAGGGGGTGTCTACGGGTTTGGCTTGTGTGTTCCCAGGAGGCCCCAGACCTTTTTCTTCCCTCCTGTCTTCCTCCCAGCCAGGAGAGTGGCCTCTTTCTCCCCCAGTCTTCTCCTCTGAACCAGTATGGAAACTGGACAATTGTCCCATCCATTCTTTGTGGCCTAAGGTAGCTCTGACCACAGTCTTTGAAATGCTACCAAAAAGTATCTTTCACTTCTCTCCTGCCCCAACTTTGACAAGCAATACCCTCTTCCGAAGCCCCTCTCCCCAGACACAGCCATTCCGGTGAGACCCACCTCAAATACAGGGTTTCTCAACTTTTCTTTTGGTTCACGGGCCTCTGAAAGTCTCATCCATAGAAATACATAGTTGCCTCCATTTTAGGGGTTCCCAGCCCCCCGCAGCCTGCCTATAGATCTAGCTAAGAAATCCTGCTAGTGCGAATGAGTTTAGGACCTGTTCTTGGGATCCAAATGATTCTGTCCCTGGAAGCTGGGAGGCTGGAGGGGCCCAGGCAGGGAGGACGGGGAGCCATGTCTGCCCACCTGCCTTGTTTGTTTCGGGGACAGCCCCAGATGATGGGGTGAGAAAGGCAGCGAGTTCATTGGTCGCCCAAGGCCCTGTGCAGCCAGGGCCCTCCAGGCTCGACTGTGAACTGAGTGACGTCTCCTCAGCTCGGCCCATCCAGTCTCTAGGGTAGTGGTTCATAGTGACACCCCCTTGCAAAGAAACAAAACTGTTACTGTGGAAAGTCAGAACCGATCAAGTCAAAGGCCAGGGGTGGAGGTTGGGGGTATTTAAGAACACTTTCTCCACCCCTCAAATTCTTTTCTTTTCTTAAATTTAGAAGTATTATGGGTACAAATTGGTTACATGAATCGCCTTTATAATGCTTGAGTCATGGTTGTAAGAGTACCCGTCACCCAGATATCGTCCATTATACATGTTAGGTAGGTTTTCACCCATCCCCTCCTTCCTCCTCCCCCAGGTTGCTTTCTGCTGAGTTCTACTTTCCTCTGTGCACTTGTGTGCTCATTGGTTAGTTCCAATTTAGTAGTGAGTACATGTGCTGCTCGTTTTTCCATTCTTTAGATACTTCACTTAGGATAATGGTCTCCAGTTCCATCCAAATTGCTGCAAAAGGCATTAATTCGTCCTTTTTTATGGCTGGGTAGTATTCCATAGTATACATGTACCACATTTTGTTAGTCCACTGATGAACTGATGGGCACTTAGGTTGATTCCACATCTTTGCAACTGTGAATTGTGCTGCAATAAACATTCGTGTGCAGGGGTCTTTTTGATAAAATGTCTTCTTTTCCTTTAGGGAAAATACCCAGAAATAGGATTGCTGGATCAAATGGCAGGTCTATGTTTAGTTCTTTGAGGAATCTCCATACAGTTTTCCATGAGGTTGTACTAATTTTCAGTCCCACCAACAGTGTATACGTTCTTTTCTCTCTGCATCCATGCCAGCATCTATTGTTTTTGGACTTTTTAATAAAGGCCGTTCTGACTGGAATAAGGCGATATCTCATTGTGGTTTTAATTTGCGTTTTCCTGATGATTAGTGACATTGAGTTTTTTTCATATGTTTATTGGCCATTTGTCTGTCTATCTTTTAAAAAGCTTCTGTTCATGTCTTTTGCTCACTTTTTAATGGGCCCACCCCTCAAATTCCATCAGAGACTTGGCCATACATAAGGCTGGTCCTGCTTAGAAACTTAGGAACTGGGTGTCCTTCCTGCTGATGACAACGCAGACTTGAGCAAAGATGATAAAATAGTTAAATGTAACATTTCCACGGAAGATCCCTTGTAAAGTGTTGCAAAGTTGGCTCCTACGTCACTGTGTTAGGTCTCTAGAATCAGGAAGCATAACATTTTTCTTTTTCTTAAAGACATGAGTCCAACAGGCCTTGCTTACTACGTGCCAGGGGCTGGGCTGGGTGTGCTTTCAGGTCTGGAGAGCCCGGCCCTGCTCTCTGGTAGGAGGATAGGGGGGTGTTGGGTGCTGTGGGAGCACAAGAAGGCAGCTGTCCTAAGCCTGGGGCTTCCTGGGGTTTGCTCTCTGGAGAAGGGTACGTCCGTCAGAGGGGACAGGTGGGCAAAGGTGTGTCCGTGGGGACGACTGCCTGTTAAGACAACAGCTTGGCCCTTCATGGTGCCCTGGATCCCAGTTCTAGCTGCCACTGGGGTCCAGGTGAAGGGACAAAGTGGGGGCCACTGAGGACTGAGCCCCAGCACTCTTCTGGGGAATTCCCTGGAGGGCCGAGCTGGGCCCCGCTGTGGGTGAGGGGCCTCCCAGCAGGGTGCTGTGTCTCCAGGGAAGCTCTGCCCGTTCCGGCACGAGCGAGGGGAGAAGACGGTGGTGTGTAAGCACTGGCTCCGTGGGCTGTGCAAGAAGGGCGACCCCTGCAAGTTCCTACACCAGTATGATGTCACCAGGATGCCCCAGTGCTACTTCTACTCCAAGTTCGGTAAGGTGCCTTCCTGGCTCTGCCCCTCGCCTGGGAGATGGCAGTGGGGCCTGAGATGGGAGGACGGTTTCAGGGGAGGGGGCACCCGAGGAAGGCCGGGCATGTCCCAGGAGGCCGGCTAGGACGGTCTGAGCCTCAGGTGCCTGCTTCCCCAAACCGTAAGGAAGGGGACCCGCACCCCGGCATCCCTGCCCTTCCCACCCCCCAGGATCAAGTGCGCACCAGTTACCTCCAAAAGGGAAGGGAGGGTTGTGGCCCTCCCCAGGCCTGGCTAATCACACACCGAGACTGACTGTTGGGAGATGAATCTCAAATGAGCCATCTCTCAGGCCCGGGGTGAGGTAGGGGGGCCAGGTTAGCGCTTCCCAAACATCAGGTTTGGGGAGCCGCTTTCACGATGCCCGCTGTACCCACAAAGCCCCAGTGCCACTGTCTGCTCTTTCAGTGGTCTTGCTATTTTAACTCTTATTTTAGAAGAAAACTTTGCGTTGTTTCCATAAATGGAAAACCAGCATCACTTGTTAGAAAGAAAAGGTAACTGTAAACATAAAACCACGGGTGCAGCAGCAGTCCAGCCCCTGAAATTATCTCGTGTGGTCAGGTCTGGACCAGCGTCATCTTACCGCCCTCTGGTCTCAAGTCCTCTTTCTGTCCTTTCAATCAGGGGGCTATTTAGGGAGAAGCTGTAGCCACTCTCCCCCCGTTTAACAATGGAATCTGTGAACATGCTTCAGGTCTCATCCTTCTCAATAAAACTCTACAGCTCAGCACTTTCCAGAGCCGGAAGGAGCCTTAAGGACTATCTAGTCCAGTGGTTTTCAAACTGTGTTCCAAAAAGAGCGACCTGCAGAGAGAGCGCTGGCAGATCCTCAGGGACGTCCCTGGCTTAAGAAGCTCAGCTTCCAGATGAGGCTAGAGCCAGCTCCAGCCCCCCAGCCCCCCAGGCAGCTGTCCTCATAGTGCCAGTGTTGGGGGGGTCCTGGGAACGTGGGAAGAAAGCAGAGCATCCCCTAGACCAGCAAAAGCCCCTCCCAGGCCAACCTTCCGTTTCCTGCCTGCTCCAGGGAAGTGACAGCGTGGCAGTTCCTGAGGGCTGCCCGCACATCTTCAAAGAGGGGACAAAAGGTATCAAGAGCCCCACTGCCCTTGGTCATTGCCCAAATAAAACTCTTTCACTTAAAATGCCACTTACTTAGCTATTCCTTCAGTACCCCTTGGCTGGGTTTCGTGTGGGGATCAGATGCTGCAGGGAACGGGCACAGGAACAGGACCAGGCCCCCTTCTGCCCTCAAGTACCTCCGATTAGTGGGGGCAGACATGTACACCCATTATTACGATATGTAACCTGTGGTTCTGTTCTTACAGTAAATGAATGAATATCTCTTTGTAATATCATTATCCAGGTAATTATCATTCTTATTGGATGCAAATTGTTTCATTTTTTAAAGGTATTTTTGGGGAGGTGTGGGAGGGGGAAAGGGAGAAGCGGCTCAGATGTGCAGGGTCTCCGGCAGGCACTGGGGCAGCTCTGAAGGGCAGGCTGAAGGCTGGAGTGCTGCTGCCACCTGCTGGCCAGGCCAGGAAAGCAGCGACGTGCGCGGGGCTCAGGCAGAAAGGCAACACCAGGGTAGATGACTTCCCGTGATCTGCACCGATCAAATGGATCGAATGCTGACCAGCCCTAGGGGTGCTCGCACTTTGAATCCTTAGAAGGCTCAAGCCCAGAGTCAGCACTCTGCCCAGTGCTGCACACGGACGACGAGCAAAGAAACCCTCGGCCAATGTGACGTGACCTTTCCCCTCTCTGAACACGGGCGTCCATGTGTGTGAAATGAGAGTGCTGGGGAAGAGTGGCGGTTTCACACCCTTGGGGATGAGCGGTACTCTCCTTCGGGCGAAACCTCGCTCTGCAGAAGCCCAACATATAAAATACATCTCTTTGGAGCGGTTTGAAGACCAGCGGAGTAGACGCTGCGGAGCGCCTTTGAGCTCGAGAAAGTATTGAGCTGTAGACTCCGACGGAGGACGGAGCTGGAGACATCCACAAAGTGGGCTGGATCTTCCCCACGCCTCCTTCAGACCTTCCTTCCTAGGAGGAATCTAAGAGGCTCTTAGAACGACTCCTGGGTAGCCTGTGCCGCAGGCTGGCTCCTTCCAGGAGACCAGCTAAACCCGAGACTTGGTCTAATCCATAGATTGCAACGCTGGCTTAGTACTCTGCAGGTGTCCCTCTGTGGAGTGTTTATTTTTATCCCTGTGCCAACTTGAGGCAGGACCCTGCTTTTCTTGGCATTTCCATCAAAAGGAACTGCTCCCCTAAGCCCTGGAAGCAGTATAGGATTTGCAGCAGAGAGGAACAGAGGGCTTAGTCACAGCACACGCAACTGCTCCCTTTAATGCATAAGTGTCCTCAATCCTCCCTCCCTGGGAGCCTCCACGCGCCTGCAGTCCTGGTGCTTCCTCCTGGATCCGTGGTCCTGCCCCACTCCTCCGGATGTGGACGCCCACACCCACGCCCCGCTTAGCAAATGTTACTGGCATCCAGCCTTCTTAGATCGCAGGAAGGATTAGCCACACCTTGCTGTCTTCAAAAGCTGCTGGCAACCAGAAGAAAGGCCAGTAGCTTACACGTACATGAGGGGCAAGGTCAAATCAGTGTGGGGAGGTGGAAGTGACCAAAACCAGGAGCCCACTTACGTACAAAAATGCTTGAATTTTCAGGTGACTGCAACAACAAGGAGTGTTCCTTCCTCCATGTGAAGCCTGCTCTCAAGTCCCGGGACTGTCCTTGGTATGACCAAGGTTTCTGCAAGGATGGTGAGGCCTCGACAGGGCGTGTTGGGGGAGGCGGGTGATCAGGAAGGGGGCTCAGCAGGGGAGGGGCCGTTTTCCTGATGAGGCTGTGCCGCATCGAAGTCCCAGCAGAAGGCCTTTCTGCAGTTCTCCCCAGGCTGCCGTGGCACCACGGGCTACTCGGGGCAGGCTTGTGTGGGTCCAAATCTTATCTTCAGTATATATTACTACCTGACCTTGAACAGGTGACTTAACCCCGGGAAGCCCTTGGCACAGGGTTTGGCCCACAAGACACGCTCAGTTCACGTGCGCTCTCTTCTCTGTTCCTTTTACCCACCTTAAGTTTCACTTAAGCACGTCCTCCCTTTTTGTCCCACCTTTAGCTGGTTTGCTGCCAGCCAAACGTAGGAGGCAGGGCCCCCTGTCAGGGTCCCTGTGCCCTAAGCACCCGTGTTTGTCCTTCAGTTGTGTTGTTGCGAGCTCTTCGCACTGCTGGTTTTGGGGGCCTGGGGGGAGCGTGGCTGAAGGGGCGTCAGTAGGATTGTGGGGTTGGCTTTCCTCAGCTGTACCTTCCGTAGCTAAATAAACAAAAGGCGGCAAAGTCAAGTGTGCATCCACACAAGTCCTCCGAGACACAGCATGTCGGTGACGCTTCCAAGCCTCGCGATTTCGGGGCTTGCCAGCTGACACCTGCCCCAACACATTCCAAGGTTCCCTTTCCCCACCTCAGTCTCATGGCTAGAAGTGGGGGCCTCGGGGCACCATGGAAAGGACTAGATTTATGCCCCCCATTTAGTGGAGCACCTGTGGGCACCCATACCCTTCCAGGAAGCTTTCTCCTGTGTTTCCCCTCTGGCTGCAGCAGAGCCTTCTGGTCATTTTCTCTTTGCCCAGCAGGTCCCTTGTGTAAATACCGCCACGTCCCCAGAATAATGTGTCTCAACTATTTAGTTGGCTTCTGCCCTGAGGGACCTAAGTGCGAATTTGCTCAGTGAGTACGATCCTTCAACTACCACCTGCCACCGGAGTGCGGGCCTGGCCTTCTGGATCGGGGTCCTTCCACGCCTCCCCTGGCCCGTGGTGGAGAACTGTCTGGTAAACTGTGTTCCCCTGGCACTGCTGCCTGTCCCTGGCGACCTCCAACCCTTCCTCCTAATGTGCGCTCGTGCTGGGGTGGGTGTAGATGTTTTCACAAACTGTTCTAGGAAGAAGAGTAGAAACATTTAACCCGTTTCCCCCCAGTCCTCTGGGTTCTCCCTCACTCCCTGGCTGGGGAGGGCTCCTGCCCCGAGGGGTTCTGAAATCCGAAATCCGCAGCGGGCTGCCGCAGAGCATGTTAACGAGCAGGGGATGGGAGGCCGATTCGGATGTAATTGTCTCTCTCGCTCTCTGCACTCAGTCCCAGGATGAATCTTTCATTCAACTCGAGTTACAGGAAGGTGAGTGCAGGTCGGCAGGTGCCGACGGGCCTTGCCCTTCACCCCACACTCCTCTCTGCTCCTGGGAGAGCTTACTCCCCAGCACTGCTCCTGGCGGCCCTCACTCTCCTGGGAAAGCGCCTGTCCTGCTGCCGTGGGCCACACGGATGTGGTGGTTCCTCCCAGACTCCCCTCCCGCCGCTACAATCCCTGCTTTGGGCAGGACTTCTCAGCTGACCGGCCCTTGAGGCCTTCCTTCTCCTTGGCACGGAGACATGCGTGGTGTTTGTGTTTAAACAAAACGGGGCGCAGCTCAGGACTTGCAGTCCAAAGCTGGTTTTCTGAGTCAGGGCCAGCCCCGCTTGAGAAATGTGCCCGCTCCCTATGGAAACAGATGTGCTCCGTCCCCACGGAGACGTACTTACTGTCCCTGCGGACAGCAGGCGCCGAGAGCCTACACCAGGAGTCAGCAGACCACAGCCTGCGGGCCAAGTGTGGCCACTGCCTGTCTTTGTACAGCTGGGAAGAATGATTTTTAAAATGTTGGGGAGAAAATAAATCAAAAGAACATTATGTGACATGTGAAAACGGTAATTCCAGTGTTCATAGTTTATTTTTATTTACATGTTGCCATGGCTATTCTGGAGATTCCAAGGGCACAATTGAGTGGTTGCAACACAGACCTGATGGCTCACCTCACAGTTTAAAATATTTACTATTGAGAAAAAAAAAAAATACACACACACACACACACACACACACACACATATATATGTTTTTTTTTACTCTTTTGTCACCTATAGGGAAGCTTGCTGACCCCTGGTCTGGGCGACTGAATGTTGGGTCCCCACTTAAGTGTGACAGAGGCCAAGCAGGAGCACAGCAGACGCTGGGGCAGCTACTGAGCTTGGGGCCGCCCCACGCTGGAGCTGGGAGGGCAGCGGCCAGGGGGAAGGTGGCTCCCGCGGGCTCCCAGGGGCCTCTGCTAGGGGTGGGAAGCGATCTGATCTGCCGGACCATGGGGAATTCACAGCTCCCTTTCTAACTTTCATGGAGAGCTGCGCTTTTGGCAACTAAAACCGTAACTAAGGGCATTTCGAACCCTGGTTTCACCCTGACGCACGGCTGTTGCCCAGGCCCTCAGTGTAAAGTCACCGTGTCTGCAGAGGAGCCATCTGCAGGTGTTTCCCCACGACTTCGCTCTGTCTGCAGCTTGTCAGCCAGCCCCGGGACTCAGCACCTCCTGCTTCTGCTGCGGAAGCTCAGGAGCCCCCTTCCCCGACAGAGTGCCGGCTCCTCCACCCTCGGGAGAGGGCCCAGGGGCACCTGTTCTCCTGCCTGCAGCCCAGGGCGCACGAGCAGGTCTTGTGCTACAGGGTGAGCAAAGGAGCTAACAGGGCTGGGCCGGTGTCCACTGCGGGCTGGGAGGGGAGGGGGCTGACCAGAGAGCTAGAGAACGAGATTCCTTTTCTGTAGCGTAGAAGAAAACTGCAGAGAGAATGGGCTGATTCTGGTGAACCAAACGTTACAGTGTGGGAAGCCTCAACAAGCTATCCTATTTGTATCTTTAGTCAGATTAAGACTTTCTTTAAAAGAAACAGTTGTCTTTCATTTCCCATTCTGTTCCCTACTGAGTTATGTGTACACATAACGTCCTTAAGATTGCAGCAGTGGACAGAGTTCTTGGTTAAGCAAAGAAATATAGCACCTTGGATTTCTTTTTTTGCTATCTTCTGGTTTATAAGGAAGAAAAAAGCCAAGATGGTTTTATCGTACCTTCAGTCTTGAGATAGCTTCTAAATTGTTCACAGCTTTGATTTCTCCATTCTGCAGGGTGACAGGTTAAGAGGCAGAAACTGACTTTCTTGCACATTTGATTTTATGGGCCTTTGAAAGCCTAGAGCCTTGTTCTCTGATCGTGGTGCTGGGCCTGAATATCAAGGTCTCTTTTAGGCCTGAAATAAGCTTCATTTGTGAGCAGAATCCATTCAATTCCTCAGAAAGCCAGCTATCTCCTGTGGTTCCCTAGACCATTCAGAATTTTTCTCTCGAGACTGGAATTTACAAAAGTCATGCCATTAACTTTTTCTCTTTTAGTGTCGAAAACCAGGCCATTATGCCAGTAAGTGCAGTGAGACTCAACTGGTGGGAGTTATCAAAAACTAACCCACCGTCTGGAAACTGGAAGATGTTCTGGTGAAGATGCTCAATGGCCCCACCATGGGATTCCGTTCCTGATGTTCCAGAGCGAGCCTGTCATGCAGAAGTAGCCTGCTGTGTGTAGGTTTCTTTCCTTTTATCCTGTAAGTGAACCAGCGACTAAAAATACAACAGATTGCAGGCAGATGACTGTGGCAGGAATGAATTACCATAAAACAGAGGAGCAAAACGTACGTAAAACCAAAAGCTCGAGTATTCAGGAAATCCACGATTGTTATACTCCACCCGGCTCCTGTGCTCCTACAGACAGTTCTGGGTGCACGCGGCAGTTCTTGCGCACATGGCCTCCGCTGCTGCTAGAAACTGGCAATTAAATCAAGTGGTTTTCTTTAGCATGACAGCTGCTTCCCTGTATGGCTTATTTAAATTTAAGAATATATTCTGTGCCTTATGTGGAGTATTATGGGGCAGTAGATGGTACAAAAGAGGCTCATCCTGGGGAGGGGAGGTAGTGACGTGGAACGTCAGTGGTGTACTATCCACGCCATCATGTCATCGGGCGCCAGTGCAACCTAACCCACTGGGAAAGCAGAGCGGTGGCCGAGCTGAGCCTTTTGGAGAAACAGAGAAGAGCATTACGAGGCAGGAGCGGGGACCAGCCTTCCACCTTTGGTAGGTGAAGAGACAGGTGCCTGGCCTGCCTAGGGCTGGAGGGTCAGAGGTTAAGGCAATCTAAAAGAATGCAGCCCAGGAGTGAGATTTGGCAGTTTGACCACCAGTTCAAACCACTCTGGGCTGCTAAGTGACGAACAGCACAGAGCTCTGTAGAAAACTGACCTCCTCAAGCCTGTTTCCTCATTCTGGAAAATGAGTCAGATAGCATCACATCACAGGGCCGCGAGGACAAAATGAGAAAATGCACGTAAAGAACTTGCACGGCACTTGGCACAAAGCAAGCACCCAAACGCTGGAGAGGACTGCGGCGGGGCCTCTTCCTCGGTTCCCGTTTGGAATCTGTACGTAGCATGATGCCACAACAGGTTGTGTGTGGCTTTCTTTCCTTCTATCCTGTAAGTGAACCAGCGTTCTAGAACAGCGGCTACCACTGAGTTCCTGCTAGGTCAGACCTTGCTGGGACGAACAGATGTAAGTCTTCTAATCTCACCAAATCTCTGCAAAGTAGGCATAATTATCCCCAATTTACAGTCCAAAGGAAGCTGCAGTAAACTGGATAACTTGTCCAGGCACACACTCACCCATTTCACAGGAAAAATTCTAGAAGAAGCAAATGATCAGCTCAGGGGAATACTTTTTATTTTTTACAAATATTTTTATTATGAAGAGTGCTGGTAGTAATATGTGAGTTCCCCATTAAGTGTAAAACAGCCTGCTGATACTGCATGATTTTTTTAATAGCTAAATATTTTAATGTGTATTAGAAAAAAATATACTTTCCCCAGTAAACTCCGTATTTCAGATATTATTATTCAGGACTGAACTAAGTAGCCAGTACCAGGCTTAATCTACCTTACAGAAGCCACATGTGAGTCACAGCAGGGTGTTCACGGATGCCGCTACTTCCAGCCTTCAATAACGGGACCTTCAACAGCAAGTCTTCTCAGGGATGGAGGGTAGCCCGCGCGTCACCGTAACTCTTCCGCAGGATGGGCGGGGAGGAGGATATGGATTGCGTGTATGGATTCTCATGGTGAATTTCTATGCACATTGCAGGATGACTTGTGTAGGAATTCAAGCTGCTGCCCTGGAAGCGAAATCTAAGCGTTGCTGCTTACCTAGGGAGGCCCTCACCAGTGCCACAGAGGGGGAGAGCATGATTGTAAGAGACAAAATGAAGAAGGCTGTTGAAAATGGTAAATCACGTAATCACGTTAAAGGCATTCTTTCTCTCTCTGCTTTGTGTGAAAAGATGAGTAGTTACCCCCCCTTACACCGGAAGCATAATGGCTTCTGCAGGTAATGAAGTCTTACTTGTCCAATATTCCAGGTTTGAAAAGAATCTCCAGTCTCTCTGGATAAAGCTTTTAATCTGCTGATCATATACATGGTTGGGGCTGCTGTGCAACTGAATTTACAGGGATATTTGCATATGTGAACAAGAAATGTATCCTCACCAGGCAAGTTTACATCAGCATTGCAAACCAGAGCTAGGACATATACTCCCTGATCACGCTGAGTTTGTTTAGATTTCAGTCTCAGGAAAGAATCGTCAGCTATCAGCTTATCTCAACAACTCCCTTAAACTATTTTGAAGGGATCTTTAAAAGACTTGATAAAAGGTCTTCAATTATTTTCCCAACGCAGATGGCAGCAATGAGTAGGTAAGACAGGCTTGCCCTTCCTTACTTTGTGGACACGTACAAATGACTCCAGAAAGTGGAAATATTTCCAGTGGCTTCTTGGAAGTCACCCACATCACTTTAAGAATCAATTGTCAGCATCCAATTCAAAGGAGTCAGTTAAGATTTTTTTGTTCTTTTCTACCATATGTGAGTTAGAATTCTTGGTACCAACCAACGTCAAACAAAAAGCCGTTTTCCTATGACTATAGGATCTCACCTTTGTCCTAAACTTGGCACTATGAGGCAGATAGCCCTTTAGGACTAATGGATCATATTTTTTCTCATTAAGGAACTTATTTTCAGGGATGTAAAATGTTGCGATTAAGTTAAACGTCTTTGTTTTTAGCATTCTGATTGTGACAAACGATACTAGTTTATTCTGACTGTGACAAATGAAATAGCTTGTTTACAGTAGTCATATAAATGTTCCTGATAAAAAAAATGTTGGAGGTGACAAGGTACTCCTTTGTGCTACCACTGTACTTATGGGTAGTTTGGGGGGCAACACAGGACACTGAGGTACTAGAGTCATGTCAAGAAAGGCTTCTTCCACTTAAATGTGCCTCCTAATCCAAAAGTACTTTAGAGCAGCGGTCCCTGGTTGTCTTCACCACGCCAACACACAGAGGGGCCACACTCCTCCAGGGCAGGGGTCGGTACAGTTTTTCCATAAAGGGCCAAACAGTAAATAGTTTCAGCTTTTTGGGGCATATGGTTTCTGCTGCAACTATTCAACTTTGCCATAGCACAGAACAGCCACTGGCAGCACCTTGCTGAATGAGCAGGGCTGTGTTCCCGCAAGACTGTATTTACAAAAGCAGGCAGTGGGCTGGATGTGGCCTGTGGGCCGTGGTAGTCCGCTGACAGCTGCTCAAGAGGAACGGGCAAGAGGACACTGTTGAGAGGTCATTTTCGTCTACCTTCTCCCCCTGAGAGGCCCTGATCTCAAGTAAGAACAAATGACGAGGTGCCCAGAGAATCCTTAAGTGTCTCTCTCAAAAGGCATTACAGAGAATGGGCACAAAGCTGTTTCAAAAGCAAAGAGACTATTTTTGGGTCCCAAAGAAGTTCTTAGTAATATTAAGCTAAAATAACTAAATATGGAACTTTTCCCCTCAACCATGATTTTTTCCTTACGGAGAATTCTAGTAGACATGGATATACTGCCAAATGCCTTTCCTTAACCATGAGAATTCGTTGCAGAATTACTCCCACTCGGGATAATTAGAGAGGGGCAAGGGATTGGGAATAGGAAAGGGAGATAAAGCAGCAGATCCAGCATTCAAGTTTTGAGGGGAGAGAAGGAAACAACGTGTAAGTAAATACACACTGGCATTATAACAGCACACCAGCTTTTCTGTAGTTTTGAAGGAGCTGGGACATAATAGGGAATGACCTCATGTATTTTGGCATGAGGAGATCACGGGCAAAGCTGAGAAAGAAGTGTGTGTGATATAACCAACCCCCTATGTTGGAAAGGAAGTTGGAGGAATACTTATCCATCTACACTGCCTAGGTTACATTTCCTCAAAGCTTGTTCTATCTGCAAGTATCCATGTTACTCTCTAGGGGCCAAAAAGAATCAGAGAGACACTGAATATTTTGATGGGCAGAAGAGACACAGAAAACCCACCAGCCAAAAACAATCCTAACTAATTCAGTAATTCATGGAAATTCCTGAGAAGCGACAGAGGTGAGATTCTGAAGTTTCCAGGAAAAGCTGATAAACAGAAACTATCTGTTCACTATTATACTCACTTAAGATGCATAAAAGGTGATTTAACATTCTATTTAGTGTGCTATTTATTTTAATCAGCTTAAAAAATACTTGTAAAGAGTATCTGCAGGGTTTTTTTGTAGGCTCACTTGCAAATCAGGTGCCCACCCTTTGCTCTTGTGTTTCTCACACCTATATGATCTGCTCAAGGGCCCCAAAGAGCCCGAGCATTCCCAAGGGGAAGAGCTGGATGGATGCAGGCCCATTTTCTGCCAATTCTACTATCCTACAGCAGTATATGTGTAGTCTAGTATCTCTTACAGATGACTGGTAAAACACCAAGGTTTAGAGAACAATTTTAGGGAAAAAGATTTAAAATTGAGATATTGGTTTTTACTGAGAAATAGCTTCTAACTTTAACGAACCCTGTCATCGTCCCATCTCCTTGAATAACTTCATGTCTCCTTGAATAACAACTTTATGATTAAACAAATCTTGTTTTTTCAATAACTCTCACTTTTGACAGCAAGCCAAAAGCATCCAGACAGAACCAGATCTGTCCATATTAACAAAAAATTTACTTTTTATATAATTGTTTTAGATTCCAATAATTTTATTCTTTTCACTCCCTCTCCCCAATACAATTTTAAGTTGTTAAATATGCATTGCAGCCGTCTCCACCGTACGTCTCTTGCAGTTTCTTAAGTGACGTCCAGGCCAACACTATTTGCGCCAGCGTTGCAGCTCTTTGGATAAACAGATAAGTGTAAGGATTCAAGAAGCCACTTCTATCCACTGTTTCTATCTCTTGCCTCCACAGATCATTCCATTTTATTTTTGTTTGATAAATTCAGAAACAGTCTTAGGCACAAGCAGTTTCTGCTTCACTTTTTTCAGTCTGAATTTAGAGAGGTGAAAAATATCACATCTAATAAATATCTACCTACTAATATCAGGTATCAACTAAATAATCCCTTTCAGATTGGTAAAGTTTTAAGGAAAGCCCTTCTTTTTTGTGGGAGAAATGACTCTTGGTTTTGGGCCTCTCCATTTATGCAGGAAGACAGGGGAGGCATTCCCTTTCCTCAGGCCCGCAGCAAGGCCATCCGAGCCAGTGTACACGGGCGCCCTGCAGCCCCGTGCTGCTCTTCCACCTGCCCTCCTACTCACTACACACTGAGTGGTCACACAACTCCACTTAGTGTCGAATCTTCATTGTTTTTAAAGAAGTCTTATTATCCAGTGTGTGAATTATATTGGCCTTCATTTATTTTTGGGATGGAGTCTCGCTCTGTCACCCGGGCTAGAGTGCCATGGTGTCAGCCTACCTCACAGCAACCTCAAACTCCTGGGCTCAAGCGATTCTCTTGCCACAGCCTCCCAAGTAGCTGGGACTACAGGCATGCGCCACGACCCCTGGCTAATTTCTTTTATTTTTAGTAGAGATGGGGTCTCACTCTTGCTCAGGCTGGTCTCCAACTCCTGACCTCAAGTGATCCTCCTGCCTCAGCCTCTCTGAGCGCTGGGATTACAGAAGTGAGCCACTCAGACCGGTCTATTGGCCTTTATTGTTCAGTTATCTTGTATTTTTACACTGAAAGTGGGCTTGTTTTTTTAATTGTGGAAAAATACTAGACTTTTTGAATATCCTCCTATAATGTTTTTCTTTTTAACCAAAAGGATATATATTTACAATACAATATTTTAAAAAATGAACAAAGCTATCTTGAATTAAAAGAGAAATGAAATTTAGGCATTTTCCTTCTGGTTAGGACTTGGTACAAGCCAGAACTCCTAACCAGAAGGGTGTTTGTTTTTAAATGCTCAAAGTAGATTAACTAAGACAGCTGTAAGTCTTAGACACATTGATGAGTGACAGCTGTGTTCTATTCCGCCGCCTCCTCTCCTTTACGGTATAAAGCTGTTTGGTTTCAGTGCTAAAAAGGAATTCTTAGGCACCAAGGAGAGCACCTTCCCTTCTAGCAGGAAAACAGCTTAAGGGAGAAAAAAACAGGACCACCACCAGATCAGTGACAACATTAAATGAAGGACAAGGGCAATTATGCAGATTCTAGTCAAATCTTACAGAGGCCATTATAATCAAAACCTCTAATAAAAAAACGGGAGAGCTCCCAGGCAATAGCTCATTCACAGGGCATGTAAGATACTGCAAAACTGTAATAGGAAAAGCAATTCAAAGAATCCCTTGGAGGTCCCTATAACGGGATGTGACTTGTAATATGGCTAAAAATACAGAAAGGCTTACTCAGATGCTTGAAACTCCAGCTACAACACAGCATGAAGTACCCTGTAAAGAGCATGGTGATACCGCCGACTCCACTCTTCTTTATGGTGGTGTTGCACCTAAGCCAGCCTGTGCAAAAGGAAACAGGGCCAAATGTTACAGGGAATTGGAATTAGGGCCGGTATCTGGGAGTTACTCAAGTTTTCCCAGTTAACCTGGGCCATGGGATTGTAATTCAGAGAATTTACATACATGCATACACACACACACACATTTTAAACAGATAAAAAGGTTACATTTAAAGTAGTTACTCTTCTTTTGGGGAGTTTGGTTAAAATTGTTAATGGAAGGAGACTAATACAATTGGTTAACTTGAGGTATAGCATCTTCCTGGCTACAGGAGGCATGATCGATGTGGGCAAGGGAAAGGCAGGCCACTGGGCTGGGCGCAGTGGCTCAGGCCTGTATTCCCAGTAGTGGGTGAGGCTGAGGTGGGAGGATCACTTGAGGCCAGGAGTTTGAGACCAGTCTGGGCAACACAGCGAGACCCTGTTTCTACAAAAAACTTAGTAATTAGCTGGACATGGTGGTATGTGCCTGTAGTCCTAGCTGCTCAGGAGGCTGAGGATCGCATGAGCCCAGGAGTTCGAGGCTGCAGTGAACTATGACTATGCCACTGCTCTCCAGCTAGGTAACAGAGTAAGGCACTGTCTCTTCAGGGGAAAAAAAGCTGTTCAGTAAGTGGAAGCTGCTATTATATCAGCTTTGGTGCTTTCATTACATCACAATCCAAAATGAAAATAGACAAACCGAAGACTAGGAAGACAACAAACTTTTTTTTTCTCTTTTCCTCAGCTTTGTTATAACAGCCTAAAGAAAGAGAAACTTCTCCAAATGCCTGGAACCAGCAACAGAATCCAACAGTCAGTAACTCCAGCCTCACCTTTTTGTACAGCTTCCAAAAGCATCATTAGAGAGAAGTTGGAGGTTGTAAGCCTGGTCGGGGGTTCCAAACTCCTTATATCAGTCGAACTTCTTTCCAACAAAGGAACTACGGTTCCAAACAGAAGTCACTGTGACAGTTCATCTAAACCCACCCCCTTCCCCAACATTCAGAGCCAAAGTTCCCAGGGCTAGGTCTCAGGAAAAGCATATTCTAAATAGGTGCATTAGTGATCTCTGCAGATCACTAATGAGTCTTAGACATGGGAGATTAGGTAAAAAGGACCTGGGGGAAAGGAGTGGACGTTGAAACTGATACTGATTGGACTGCAGCTAAGTGTTAAAGGTCAAACTTATTCCAGGTCAAAAAAAGTTTTTTCAAAAGGCTTGAGGGCCCCCCGGCAATCAGGACCTATACTTATTTTCGGTCTGATGAATACAGTGCCCATATGATTCATATGTTCATGCTTCACAAAATGAATCATTTATATCTTCTATCACCTGCTAAACATTTTAGAAAAAAGTATGACTTTCTACTATTATAAATAAACCACTGCAACTTGTCACTACTATGTACAGTCAATGTGCCTGTTTTATCACCTAGTCCTATTACTGACCAGCAAACATTTCTTATTTATGTTCAGTATAAGAATAACTTAAGCAGAAACAGAATAGAGGGCTTATGCTACTGATTCACATTTTCCTTCCACCTGTTTTTCTCCGTATTTAATGACAAGCAGGCAATCTCTACTACTGATAGTTTTATGGTCTTGGTTTGGTCTGTCAGGATAAAGGATAAATTAAACAAAAACTGATGACAGGTTTAGCAGGTGTGGTAAATGGATGTAAATGATCATTATATTAAGTAAAAATGAAAGGAAATAGGTTGGCTTCCAAGAAATGACATAGAAGATAATTCTCTTGCAAGGTGAGTCTCTTAAAAAACAAAGCATGACATAAAACCTGTTCATCTTGGAAAAAAATTAAGGAAAAAATGGGAAGAAACAACCTCCTGAAAACTTCAACCGTACAACCACATTCTCCGCAGCGTCAGGAACTATGTGGCTCCTTCCTTGACCTTGTCTGCCTTCCCCAGTCAGTTGAACCTACTGACTTCCAGCTATAGATTCAGCCAAACTTGACTGAATGACACGATTAGTGGAAAGGATTAAACTAGGCCTCAGGAGACTAGGTTCTACTTGCAACTCTACCGTTTACTGGCAACATGACCTTGGACAAATCACTTATCTTCTCTATGCTTGTTTGTTTCATCATCTGCAAAATAAGAGATAAAATCACTCTGCTCACCTCTCAAGAGTTGTGTGGCCAAAATAAGAAAATACAGACGAAAGCACTTCGAAAACCACAAAGCAACACAAATGTTAATATAATTAAGTCTGTATTTAGTATGGAGAAAGGGCTTGACCTTGAGACTACAATTTTGTACAAAAAGGTCTAAATGACAGGCCTGTTAATAGAAAAACTTGTACCTATCGAGGTAGCTAAAGAAAATGTAGCTTTGGCTAGCAATGCTCTTTATACATGTCCATTCTGAAACCCGTAAGAAAGGGATAGTTACAATACAAAAGGAAATGCTTTGGGGGCCAAATAGGGGTTTAGTGAATACGGACCACTTGCAAAATATACCAGACAGGGAAAAACTCTCCCTCTTTAGGAAGAGATGATACCAGTTTTTCAACTGCAAACCCATTCTGTTGTTGTAGGTCTCCTGTCAAAATAAACCTGGAATGACCATTACACAAGAGAGATGTATGCAACTTCACACTAACTATGCCCCTAGAATATCTTTAAAAAAAAAATCCAAAGCTTGTACAGAAAATGAAGAAACATTCTTATTTTAACTAGAGAGGCAGTCTAAAAACTAAAGATGAGATTCAGCAAAGAAAAGCAAGGACACCTGAAATGACTGAAAGGAACTTCCCAGTTCTTATCTGGGTCCCAACCTACCCTCGTTAACCTGTTCTATCCCTCGGCAAGGAGCATCTAGGAAGCTTCTGAACAGATTGATTCATAATCAGTATCAGTTTCAATGTCCACTCCTTTCCCCCAGGTCCTTTTTACCTAATCTCCCATGTCTAAGACTCAATCTCTGGTTCTACTCTTGGGTCCTAGTCTCCCTGACTTACTTTTTCCAGTACCTGGACTTCTAAACCTTCTTTGCCATATCCTCTCTTCCTGGTCCTTAATCTTAACTGGTTCATCTCCTGAGCCTCCACTTCCCTCTATCTGCCTTGCCTGCCTTTACCTGGCCAATTTTAACTGCATCCTACCACCAACTCCAGAAATAGCTTCTGCTTATACCTTCTTTGCTACTCTAAATTCCTAGATGTTGCATTTGACTATAAATCTGGAACCCGTTTCCTGTACAACCTGGTAATGACTGAATTTTGAACACGGTATTTGTCCTATTTAGGTGAATTCTGAAGTCTTTATGTCAGTTTGAATACCCATCTAATTTCTACTGCTATGCTTCTTCCCAATGTAGAAACTCAACTGCTATCGATACTACCAGCCTGCCCTAGCGCCTTCCTGGTGGAGGGGAAGGGAGAGTGATAAACCACCACTACTGATGCCTGGAGCCAAGTAATGCTTTCAGAACAATTGTAAGTGCAGTGCACTGGAATGCCTAGGTAAAAATAAGCTAAATGAGTAAAAATATTATTATTCGAGCCCTTAAAAATTCAAAAGGTACAGAGCATTCTGGATGGGTTAGGTGGCCCTTGAAAATGAGCTCGTTTACCTTTTGAGAGTCTTTCCCCCTGGGGACTGATGAGCTGTGGTTTCTGGGCCACTTCATGCCAACACTGGGGCTTCCCTGGCAACACTCCTAGTCCAAGATAACCAGGATAGAGCTCTGGAAACCACTCTAGCCCCATGGAGCTGGGAGGGGTCTTTCTGTCAGCAGCTGCAACATCATTGATGAAGGGGCTCTTAGAAGTGTGATGCGGGGCTGAATGTAGAGGCTGTTGGCATCCAGTGTGCAATGCTTGAAACTGACAGCCAGATTTGGGCTCCAGAGAAACCTGTCCCTTACTTTCCAATAAGGCCTTTACATCAGGGACTCCATTATGACTGCAGGCTTCTGCTTTTTCTTCTTGGAGAAATTTTGTAGCCAGAGAGGCAGGACTTTGACTACTTGACTGTGATACAGAAAAAAATTCACTGTCAGCTGTCTCCCTTGGAATGCACAAATTTAAATGTCCTTCACCTTGAGATTTCTTCTCTGTGGCTGAATCATCAGTTTTGAAGTTCTCAGAGCCACTGCTGATGGCAGTCCATTCCTGCATTTCTGTCGCAGACTCACTTTGCTCTGCATTTCCTTTGTTCCCACACACCTCAACTCCAAGGCAAAGTCCTTTTTCTTGGTTCTCCATGACTCGGATTTTACCTGACGAGCTAATTTTAAGGCTTAAAATTAGTGATTCTGGGTCTTTTTCCTGAGTCTCATTGTCTCTGACATCAGTAGAGGCTCCTGAGAGGTGATCCCTGCCTTTGGAATTTCTCTCATTGCTCGACAATGATGTTCTTACTCTTTTATCTCCATCACTGAGGTTCTTTGGAGAACTGTAACAGTCACCAATAGGCACATCTAGTAATTTTACTAGAAGCTCCTGTCTTTGGGGGTTAATTTTATCCAATTTAAGATCAGCAGAAGTGGTTTGTACATCATTAGGTATGGCTGAGGAATATTTTCTACCTTGATTTGATAAGGAAGGTTCCATTGAGCCAACCGGTAAAGATACTTCAGTTTTTGAAGGATTACATCCACTTTCCACTGATTTAGGCAAATCTTTGGCAAGTTCTCTTTTAGGAGAGGTGTTCTCTGATGCATAAAACTGAGCCTTGGTTTCTCCTTGGAAAGCAGTCTTTGGTTCAGAATTCTTTAATGTTTTGCAGGAGAGCTGAATTTGATTCTTGATGTCTTTATCTGCCTCTGTAGTATTAGCTCTTTCCAAGCCAACCGGTGGTAGTGGAAAGGATTTAGTTGTCTGTTCTGGTTTGTCTATTATCAACTTAGTATTTCTTTCCTCACTCTCTGTCTCCAACTCTCTCCCTTTAGCTTTCATTAAATCTTTGATTGGTTCTTTCATTTTTTTAGCACGTGGGAGTGTACCTGGCTTGGACTCATAAACCTTTCTATCAGCAGGTATGGTTGGTCCTATCATCTTACAGTGTGGCAAGTGGGATTTTAATCGTTTAAATGGCTTCTTACAATAAGGACACAACTCCATTCCAGGTGGAATATCACTCATCCTCTTCCTGAAAAGGTAAATGTGAGATTATGAGGAGCACATAGTTTGCAGAGTAAAGACCAATATTTTATTGGTCATCTCTTTTAAATTAATTTGGAACAAGTTAGGTTAAAGGAAACTTTAAAAAAATTGTTTTCATCCATTCTTTTTCTTACACGAGTAGAAAATAAGAGATATAGTTTGGTTTTAAGATAAATATTTCTGGCTCTATTTATGCTTGGTAGTTAACATTTTTGAAAGTCTTCTAGGAATCCATCAATAAAAAGACAAAGGGATTGTGCAACATCCCTAACAAGGAGGTGAGCAAGGCCAAAAGGCTCATGTCTAATGAACATTTAGCCAAAGGAAAAGATTCCCAAAATACCAGTCAGAATAAAATGTTTGCTATTTAAGGTTATAGAGAGTCAACTAGATATCACATTAGTATAAAGAAATTACTTAAAAACCCTTAGACACATCATTCAAGGACAGCATACGAAGAAGAAAAAACTCAGGCCAGGATTGAAAGGCTACTCATTAGAGCAGAGGTTTCTAAAATGATATGTGAAAGATCCACTGAGGTGCAAGAAAAGAATTTTAGAACTCTCACAATCTAAGCATGAGAAATGAAGCTCTACTAACATTCAACAAATTAGTAATATGCATATATATAACATATACACATACAAAATGTATGTGTAATCTACAAATCAAAGGAGGGGGCATGGCACCAAGTTTTCATGTATAGTTTGTAGTACAATAGATTATTGGCAAATTTGACATCTTTGTTAAATACATACCATACAGGAAAATTTTAAAACATTTATACCATGTATCGTTCGTATCTCTTTTTCTCTAGATGAAGGAAAAGAAAATGTTTAATTCCAAAGCTCAGTTGGAGGTTGTTTCCTTTTTTATATTTCATATTCTTTCTATAAAGTTTCAGAAGGCAGAGAACATATCTATCCTGTGTACAGCTGTAGTCTCAGAATCTAGCACTGAGCCTGGCATACGATATTTGTTGAATGAATTTTCTCTAGACATAAAGGGGTAAACATTATTATTCAATATTATGACTGAGAATATCTTCTGACAAATAAGAGATCAAAAAGTAAGCTTTGAAACCATTTACAAAATAAGTAGATATAATCTTGGCCAATCCATTTATCAAAGCAACCTTTATCAAAGCAACCAACCTACCTTATCCTGCATGAAGTCATGCAAAACAAAACTGTTTTCTGCCAATAGACTACAGTATTTATTCTTACTTTGTCTGGAGTACACATTGACAATACGATGAAAGCTATGGGCCGTTTATTTACAAAAATACACAAATGAAGCCAGTGCATGGGCCTTCAGCCAATAACTTTAAAAAGGACTTGAGACCTCTATTAGACATCTCTGCTTCTATGGTACTCCACCTCACACTTAATCCTATTGGAAAGATCGCTGTACATTTATATGGTAATGTCTCAATGTGGGTGCCTGTTTCCTTACCCGAGCTCCTCTAGGAGGATATTAATTTTGCAGTTGTTTCTCCTGGATTCCCATGCTTCCCGATCACGGTTCCTGATTTCGGCAGAATAAACTTCAGCGTCAGCCTGCATAAGACACGAGCAGAGAGATAACTCGACAGCACACTCAGTGAGCAAATGTGGCATTACTAGTGAACCAAATACAGTAACTGGATTATCTGTTTGGCATCTCCCCTAGGACGTTCCGGAAAGCAGCAAGTTACGACTTCACCAGTCTTCCGGGCACAGGCGGATCTCACGGTTTATGTTCACCTTCGCCCTCACCTCCGGCGCGCTCTCCAGCCGACTCTCGCTCCTCCCAGTGCGTTACCTGGCCTGCCCTCCCCTCCACACCCCTCCTTTTGCTGAACGCTAGCTGTCCAGCTCCTTCTAGCCAGGAGGGCGGGGACCGCCGGGCAGCTGCCGGGTGCGAGACCAGCTTCCCCGCAGCCTCACGGAGGGGCAGGGGGTTCACCCTGCGGCTCCGGGAAGCCCCTCCGCCTGGCCCCGGCACCCGGTCCGCTCCCCTCTCGCCTCAGGACAGTCTCCCCCGAGCTCAGAACAGGAGCCGTGGGAAACAAACCCCCGCCCTCCGAGACTCACCGCAGAGAAACCATCTCACCTCGGAAGACCCGAACGGCCGAGAAGCCTCAGCGACTAGCCCACCAGCTCGGCCCACGAGCGCCCACCCAATCCCCCGGCCCGGGACCCGCGGCAGGCCGTCTGCGCCACTGCCTGACGGCTCGCCCCTATTTTTTTAAATTATTACCTCACAGGGCTTTAACCCAAATACTTGTATCATATTATTATGACTTAATTTAATCTATTTTAAATCTGGCTTGATTTTTATGCCGTGCCCGCCCCTTTGGCTGTGAACAGGCGAAATCCCGGGCCACCCCCTCCCAGCCCGCCTCTTCCCGTGGGCGGGGTTACCGGTCGGCGCGGCCGGGCTCGCTCCACTGCGCAGTCGCGAGAGGGCGGTCCCCCGGCGGCTGCGACATGGGGGGGCGCGGAGGGGACGCCGGAAGTAGCGGTGGTACGGCTCCGACCGTGGGGTACTCACCGCCGGCAGCGTCCACCAGAGCGTCGGCTAGAGCCAAGGCCCCAGGGGGTGGGCGTGGCGGCCGCCGGAACGCAGCCCCCTCTATTCCCTCTTCTCGCGGAGCGGCGCCGCGTCGCTCCTCTCCGTCAGCTACCATGAGCGAGCGCCTCCGCCCCAGGTGAGCGAGAAGGGACCCCTTCCTTTCTAGCCTCTCGTCTGAGGGTCTAGGGCACGGAGCCGAGGGGGCGCGCGAAGCGGGGGTCGGAGCGAGCGTGGACCCTGCGGGTTTCCATCTGGGGTGCTCTGCGGTCCGGGGCAGGAGGGGAGAGGGATACGGGAGTGATCGGTACCTGGTCCCTGTAGGTGGCTGGAGGGGTGACTCTAGGGTCCGGGTCTCCCGCCCCTCCATCTTTTTTTTATTTCTCTTCGCTTCTATCTTTTCCTGTTTGGAATGAAGTGTGGTTGGTTCCGGAAGAGAGACGGTGGCCCTAAAGCTTCACTGTCCTAAATTTAGGAGGGTGGGGGGGATGGGAGCAATGTCTGATCTTGGGGAGGGAGCCCCCTAAGGCTTCTGTGAGGGCTCGGGCGGGAAGTTGCCGCCTCTCCAAGGTCGGAAAGAAGGGTTGGTCTTAACCCCGCAGCAGGGAAGGATTAGGTTATACTGAGGAACTTGTGCCGTGGACAGTTGTGAACACAGGAGGCAGATGAGCAAGGTGGGTTGTGGATCCTCTCTGGGCTGTAGCATTAAGAACAGGTAGGATTCTAAACTGTTTAGATGCGAAACCGTTTGACTCGGAAGGTGGGAGGTAGGATTATATGTCGATGCGCTTGCTACCTTCCCGGTTGAGCCTGGCCTAAGGACCTGGGTCCTAATTTAGGGGCTTTATGGTTGACATGTATTGAGTTGAGTCCGGACCAATCTGGGATTTCTTCCTGCCCCCCTCCCCGCAAGGAGGTGGAGAAGGGATAGTTAGGATGGGTTGCACCGGAAAGAAGAGGATGAACTTTATTTCAAATTAGAAAATACCTCATCATGGAGCTTGAAGTGAAAAATCTGTAGATCACCAAACTTTCATTTTTCTGATGAGGAAACAGATTTACAGAGATCATTTGATTTACCTGGATCTTAATCAGGTTCACTGCTCTTTCCTTTATTCCATAGTGATCTCAGCTTAAACGAATAAGATGTATCATAGGATTGCCTTGGTAGATTATGCTGCATCTTTCCAAGTTTTCACTGTCTCTGAATGTAACCGACAGTCTTTTCACAAGGACCCTTCTATGAAACAGTTGTTTCACGGGACTGAGGTTCTCAAAAGCATTCTGCGGTTATTTGGTCCCATAGTGAAAACCTAGGATTCTCCAAACTGCTGCATTGGATTGATTTGGGTCATGTAGCAAGTGGGGCATAAAGCCTCTACTTGTATAGAAAAGAAGAGTGGACTCAATTTGAACTTAGGGGCCCAATTACAGACATGCCATCGGAATTAGGAACAAGCCTTTCCTGCCATTTTTTCCTTCCCAAAGTCAGTTTATACTTCTGGTATCCTCTTGGGTTGTCTTACATATCTGGAAAAGTCTAAATATTTTCTACAGAAATAGTTCCTTTTATCCAGTACTGTACACAAGTAATCTGAATGTTTTTTTGTGTTGTTTTGTTTTGTTTTTTGAGACAGAGTCTCACTCTGTTGTCCGAGCTAGAGTGCCGTGGCGTCAGCCTAGCTCACAGCAACCTCAAACTCCTGGGCCCAAGTGATCCTACTGCCTCAGCCTCCTGAGTACCTGAGACTACAGGCATGCGCCACCATGCCCCGCTAATTTTTTCTATATATTTTTAGTTGTCCAGCTACTTTCTTTCTATTTTTAGTAGAGATGGGGTCTCGCTCTTGCTCAGGGTGGCCTCGAACTCCTGAACCCAAATGATCTGCCCACCTGGGCCTCCCAGAGTGCCAGGATTACAGGCGTGAGCCACTGTGCCCGGCCTTGAATGTTTTTATACCAGCATTAGATTCCTTTTATCTAGATACAGATAATCTCAACATGTTTGTGTTGGTAACTTCTTTAACTCTAAAGGAAGTCATTTGATTTAGACAGGCTTTTCTTGCCTACTTTTCTCCTCATCCTGTGTTTCATGGAGTATAATGGACCAGCTCAGCCAGCTCCAGCTATCTTACTGTCTCCAAGTCAGTTCACTTCTCTGGATTTGTTTTCTCAATTTTAAGATGCAGGGTTGGTCTAAGATGGTGGTTTTTCAAACTCTTCCACAGTAGACCGGATGACCATAGAGAGGTGGGTGTGTGGCGAGAGAGTCCCCACTTTAACAGATTATTTATCTCTTACGTATTGAGGGTTTTTCCTCTTGTAAGAAGAAAGAGTTCTGTTGCCTTTTTTAAAAAGTTTGAAAACCACTAATCTCCATACTCTTAAGATTATTTCTATGCTAAGCCTCTAGGAGACGACAGGAAGTTTGGAGAGAAATGAAATGATGAAGAGTGATGAAATCAAACATCCTTAGAAGTAACACATGCTAAACTATCATCTGTACCGAGGTGACTAGGGGAGAGTATCGTCAATTATATGGTGCCTGCTCAAATTACAACCTGGTCTATGGCATTAACTCCAAAAGCTATAATCTGACTGATTGTACTGATAGAGATGAGCTTGAAGCAGTAATCTTGCCAATTATTGCCAATATTGTTTAAAGAAGAATGTTTCAAGGATGGAATCTGCTAAGAGCTTAGGAAAAGGAGAATGAAGAATCCAATATCATCCAAAGGCGAGAGCCACCAAAAGGCCAAAGAGATAATTATGATACCTTGAGAAATCAGCTAATTATGAAGCAGGGATATTTCATGTGACTTTCTCACTCTCATTGTTCTTACCCTCTTTCTGCCTTGCAGCCTCCTTGCCATTCATATTCGTGTCACTGGAAAGATATATCCCTCGTTACAAATGAGGAAACGGCAAATTTTGGTCAGGCTCCTAAGTTTGGTTAGAGTGAGTCAGCAGCCCAGAGCACGGTCAGCTGTTGGCACACTGATAAAAGGAGAGTTTGGGGACCAGCACACTGCTGTTCAGAGTTTCTCTCTGGGTGTCAACTGGCTGCCCACTTTGCCACTGCAGCACACTCCCACACAAATTGTCTGATCATGTATGGTGAAAGTAGCAGTTTCTTGGTTCTCACATTTATCCACCACGAAGAGTTGTGCAATCTTGGTTTGAATTTATAATAACAGCACATCCATTTAATGGTTATTAAAACCTGGTATCCATCTAGTTTTTAACATCCAAGTTCTTCAAAGTAATGTGCAGGTAAGATCTGATATGCTGGGAGAAAATTAGGGAGCAGAAATGGTGACTTTACATTAAAAACTGAGTCTTAGAATGAGGTAAATGGTATAGCCCACTGCAGGTTGGCTAAAGCTTTATCAGAACCACATACTCATTATTTATCATTCCAAACCTAGACTGGAATCCATACTCATTAATAAAGTTTGACATATCCAGAATGTTGCAGAGTACAGGGAATTGAGCCTCGGGGTGATAATTGAAAGATTGTTCAATATCCAGACTTCAACTCAAGAAGCCTTTAGGATTAAAGACCTGCTCCAATAAGCCAGCCTACTCACAAAGAAAGTATGCAATTGTAAAGAAGATACTATATCTTCCAGAGTGAAATACTTTCCAAAAGCTGTTTTTTCCTCTCACTAGCCTTTTGCCTCTTAACTACAGAAATTTGAACCTTTAAGAATATTCGTTACAATAGATGCTGATGCCTATACATATGGACCTTTAGCCAGTGCTGTCCAGGAGAGCTTTCTGCAGTAATGGGAATGTCCTATATCTGCACTGGTTAGCGCAGCAACCGCTAGCTACAGGTGGTCACTGAGCTCTGGAAATGGGGCTAGTATGACCTAGGAACTGGATTGTGAATTTTAGTTAATTTTAAAGTAACCACATGTGGCTAGTGGTTTCCATATTAGGTGGTACAGTTCCAGGCAATTTGACCTAAAATTATACCTCCTTTAATTTATTTCTGTATTCTAACTGGGGTTTAGAAATCCCTTTGACAGCACATAATTCTTACATAAGAGTGCATATACATTTTGTCTGTCTTGTATATCTGAGAATGCTTCCCTAAGAAAGATGTGCAATTTTTCTTTAAACCTGAAGTTTTAAGCAACTTGTGCTATAATCTCACAGTAACAATCTAGTGAAGTAACTGTTATATCATAATACTAGCTAGTATAGCCAGAATAATCAGGTTGACATGACCAAGAGACACTTTTATAAGGATTTTCAGGGCAAATAGTGAAAGGCAGCCACTCTTAAATGTCACATGGAAGAGAGTAAAATTAGGGTAGCTTGAAATTGTAATTTCAGGGAATGTAGAAAGAAGAAAACCTTAATTAGGTAGAGTTTGAAAGCTCAGTCGTTAACCTATTCCTGTTCTTATTTTATTCCCAACAGACATTTAAAATTGTCAGACTTCTTTATAGAAATGAGTTTTACTAATTTAAGCTTGACCTTACTGCTGCTATCTTATATTTTTACTCTTAGTGCCCAGTGATAGTGTACTTCCAATTTTTAATCTGTTAGGATATCATACGGTAAATTATGTTTTCTCAGGAAAAAGGGTAAATTTATATTGTCATGTTTGCAGTTTGAGTGTCTACAAGATCACTTGTTGAATTTTTTTTTTCCTCCTCATGATTTAATTTCAGGAAAAGGAGAAGGAATGGCAATGAAGAAGACAACCATCTTCCCCCCCAGACCAAAAGAAGTAGTAGAAACCCTGTCTTTCAGGATTCCTGGGACACAGAGGTAGGAAGTGTGGTCGCATAGTCTCTGTTGTTTTCACTGCTTAAGCTAAATAACCCAGTTTTTGCCATATAATTAAAAGAAATTTATTCAAGGAGTAAATGAAAGTGTTCTTACTTGATTGCAGTGGTTTCAACCTTTGTTTTTTTGAGTCATTGCCCCTTTGAGGATGCTGTGTACCCTCCCCCCAGCAAAACAGTATCCGTCTGTACATATTCATATACACATACACACAATTTATATTTATTAGAAGTTTCATGGACCAAGCCCATCTTTGAACTCCTGGTTTTACATTTCAGAAACCAGCTTACTTTCTGATAGTGTATAAACCATGAATTGTCCTTAAGGTAAACATGTTTTGGTGTTTCAATTTAAATGTCTTTTAAGAGAAACTTTAAGAATGCAGAATATATAATGCATGTGTATGCAAATCCTACCCCCCACCCCCTTTTTTTTTTTTAAGAGACAGAGTCTCTCTGTGTTACCCGGGCTAGAGTGCCGTGGTGTCAGCCTAGCTCACAGCAACCTCAAACTCATGGGCTCAAGCGATCCTCCTGCCTCAGCCTCCCAAGTAGCTGAGACTACAGGTGTGTGCCACCACGCCCAGCTAGTTTTTTCTGTTTTTAGTTGCCCTTCTAATTTTTTTTCTATTTTTTAGTAGAGATGGGAGGCTGACTCTTGCTCAGGCTGGTCTCAAACTCCTGAACTCAAAGGATCCTCCCGCCTTGGCATCCCAGAGTGCTAGGATTATAGGCGTGAGCCATCAAGCCCGGCCTGCAAATCCCATTTTTAAGTGTTTTTACTTTTCATTGTGTTCTAAAAAGAGTTCCTTCGATGGGTAGGAGGAGGGGAGTTGAGGAGAGGGAGCACTCTCGAAGTTTTTTGTAATTTTTGGTCCCTGAAAGAGTGTTTCAGTATGCACACTGAGAAGCTTTCTGTGCAGTTGGAAGGCTGCTCTATGGTGGGGAGAGGGAGCCAGCCTTAAAGCAATGCTGCTGTTAAATTACACATGTAAAGATGTTGACCTTTAACAGTTGCCGCACTAATACAAACACCTCAGTGACACAGATTACTAAACTCTAGTGTATAAGTCACAGAAGAATTCTTACACACCAACAATAATTTGTACTTCAATTAGTTCCTGGTGATAGGATTTGACCTATATCTAGGCTTTCTTTACCAGCAATCCTAAGTACCCCCCGCCCCGGGGAAAAGTCAGAGCTCTCACGTAGGTAACAGGGATTCAGGAACAATTAAGGAACAAGTACAGATATGAATCCTTTTGTGTGGAGACTTTAGTTTCTGTGGCATTTTTTTCCTCCCTTAAAAAATCTTCCTATTTGCTTTTTTACTTTTTCTAATGATTAGCAGAAAAGTAGTTGAGCTTTTATTTAATGTGATAATTGGAGAATCTCAAGGATGAAAGAAAAATCTAATATTAGAGGCTATCGTGAACATCTACTCATAAAACTGTGTAACAGTAATAGTGTTTCCATTCTTTTGAATTATAAGACTATTCATTGAAAGAGTGTGCAGAGATTGCTTTCATGATATCGGCATCAATACTTCTTTACTTGTGCCTGTAAATCCTGCCATAGAATGTTCACATTATTTCAAAGGCATAGTAGGTCTATCTCTTTGTATTAACCTTTTTTTTGCTATTTCTACAGTTTTGATGCATGAAAACAGGAATAGAAATTGTCATCTTTATTTAAAAATTAGACATTTCCGATCTCTCATTTTAAATATTAGTATTCTGTTAGTTTTTTGTTTTGTTTTAGTTGTTTGTAGAAAATGACCTTCACTCTTTTTCTAAAATCTATGCATCAGTATGAGGGAGGAAAACAATGTCTTGTTAGTTAGCCTCTGGGTCATGTATCTTGTTCTTACTTGTTCTTAGTTCAGTTGTGGAACCACTCTGTAATCACTAGTCTGAAGGATGGACTGGATTGTCTTTCTTATAATTTAAGGTCATTACAGGTAATTTCTTTCCGAACTGACTGGTACATCACCTAATGGGGTGTCTTCACCACTAGTTTCAGCCTTGCTTAGCGAACATTTCCACAGTCTGTGCTTGTGCCGTGCTGTGTTTCCCCAGCAGTGGTGTGAACAAGTAACAAGGATGCGCGAGAGAGGGGAGAGCTGGAGAAGCAAAAGGCAGGGCGAAGCCTTTTAAAATGGAAAGTTCAGTGCTGAATAGTTAAATTTTCACTACTGAAATAGATCATTATGTTTGTAGCACAAAAAAAATCAAGTTTAGCTGCTTTTGGACAATCGTATATAAAAGGGAAAATAAAACACTTCATTATTAATGAGTTATGTTATTAATGATTTATATAATAAAATATTAATAACATTATTAATGAAAATGTTATCTTTTAATTCTAAGATAGGGCCAATGAGGTAAGTTTCCTTGAAACTAACTCAATTATGTAAGAGAAACCATTTCCTGTGTCTTTTCTGAAACACCTAAATAATCTTAGAATTCTTGTAACTTATACTCTCATTTGTGAGGAGTTTGTTTAAATTCTCAGAGAGATTTTAAATCATTGGCCAGGCGCAGTGGCTCACGCCTGTAACCCTACCGCTTTAGGAGGCTGAGGTGGGAGGATTGCGTGAGACCAGGAGTCTGAAACCAGCTTGAGAAACAGTGAGACCCCATCTCTACACAAATAGAAAAATTAGCAGGGCGTGGTGGCGTGTGCCTGTCGTCCCAGCTACTCAGGAGGCTGAGGCAGGAGGATTGTTTGAGCCCAAGAGTTTGAGGTTGCAGTGAGCTATGAGGAGGCCACTACACTCTAGCCCAGGCAACAGAGTGAGACCCTGTCTCTAAAACAAAAAGCAAACAAAAAAAATTATTGAGTGATTAAGCAGCCCTAGCGAAATGCCTCCTTGTACATAGTAGGCACACAAACATTGGTTTGCACAGTGATTGGATTTGAGAACAACCTGTGCCCTGTTGTTTGCTAAGGGTGGTCCTGAGGTGGGGCTCTGGCATGTACACTTTTTTAAAAAGTCCATGGGTAATTCCAAAATAGACATATCATGACAGTTCCAGACGTCTGCAGTTACAAGGATATAATGGTAGATTTTACAATTGTCTAACCTAGAATCCTCGCTTTTCATACAGATCTTTAAAACAGGACTCTTATGAGTTGCCTTTGTATGTTGTTTAGAGAGATTCTTGGCCAGAGTCTTCATAAACTTAATTTTATCTTGTGTTTGTGGATTTGCAAGGGGTTTTTATTTCACAGATCATGGCCTTATTTATTTTCTTTTGGTTGATAATACAACTTTGTCATGAAAATAGCCTGGTTAGATGTCAACACTGAGCCTAAATGGGAAATTCAGAGAAAAGAAAATGAGCTTTGTAACTGTTGATTTAGATAAATTGTTTGATGAGGAGTCTTTGTAAGGAATCAGGATTATGGGAATAGCATTCTTATTTGGTGGTCCTTCTCAGTACCAAAGTCTTTTGACTCTTGTTTCTCTTTTGGTAAAAGAATCTGCTGTCTTTTCAAGAACAAGTATAACAAGGTAAACATGTCTATACTAGGATAGCAGTTTCAATTCTCAAAACCACACACCATGAAGTAGTGATCCCCCCCCACCAACCCAAGCAATCAGAGATAAAAAAGCTTCACTAAGTGGGAGAAATTAAAAATTTTTTTTTCCTATTTTACTTTTTTTATTTTAGGAGACAAAAATTATTTTTCTTCTGTATATATCTTAAGGCACTGATGGAGACTTACACTTGAGTTTTCGGCCTTTAGGGTTAAAAGTTCCTTTATCCCATGAAACAGATCACTCTGATGGCCAACAGTGTTAAGATCGATTTTAGTAGCTTTCAAACTTTTTTGACCCTTTCCCATAGAAATGTTTTATTTTGTGACCCAGTGTATAGCAGATATATTTGTGAGTAATTGACAAGAAGCTTCACAGAACAATTTTCCTTAACCATGTTGCACCGTTTTCTTATGCCCATTGCTACCCACCAATGGGTTTCACCGTCAATTTGAAAAATCCTGGTCCATCTCACAGATTGTGAGATACTCCCTAAGCCGCCCTGATAGAGGACTGTTCTGAACTGGCAGAAAATATTGGAACCAGAGCATCTTTGAAACAGATGTATTGTTCTTACCTTTGATGACAGTAATAGTTATGGAGCACTTTATTTGTATTAAAATAACACATAAGGTGCATTCATCTGGATTCTATATGGCCTGTCTTTTGTTAGTTTAAAAGTATCATTGGCCTGCTTGATGCAAGTGAGTATAATGAAGCAGCTTTATAAATTCTTATGTAGTTAAGGGAGGTGAAACTAAAATCTTCCAAAAATCTTATTGGCAGTATCAATACTTTTTTTTTCAATTTCCGTCTTGAAGTTAGAAGTGAAGACCTTACTCTGTTTTGTAGTAGCATTCTTTAGTTCATTTATTTATGATCCTTTTTTTTCCTCAAAAATATTTTTTGTAGAAGCTTTAGAAAATACAGATATTAAAAATAAAATAGAAGATCCAAATTCTAAATGTTTTGCCATATATATCATTCTGGACTATTTTTGGTGTATGTATACATATACATAAAGAAAAACATTTTAAAAATTAGATGATATACAATGCATACTGTTCAGTATGAACTTGAAAACGATGTAAAAATATGTTAAAGACTTCTATCTTAGTATATGTACTTCTCATTATTGTTAATGGCTGAATAGAATTTTATCATATATATGTATACAACAGATATATTAAAATTTAACCAATTCCCTATTGTTAGATGTTTAGGTTGTTTCCAATTTTAGCCATTGTAAACAAGGTTACACTAAATGTTTTTATATATGTCTTTATAAGGTTTATTACAACATTTTAAAAATGAACTAGAAATTGTAAGTATATTTATCCTTTTTTAAAAAGTTACTGTATAGAAGTCTTTCCTAACTTGTTTATTTTAAAGAACTTATACTTTTTATGTGAATAGTCACCCTTGCTATTATAGTGTAAAATAGATATCACTTGAGATGAAAATTTGACTTACTAGAAACTGATTCTAGTTCTTGCCTTAATTTTCAGACAGTACCTGTAATGAAAAGCAATAAAGAAAACAGACTAAGAGGAAACAAAGCGTTCTGCGCGGTGGGTTTCTTATCCAGTGTAGTGATCTACTTGTTCTATATTCATGACCTCATGAGGTGTACGCGGCTGTTCTAGGTTGTTATACTAGGTTAGGAGAGGCCTTTGTAGAAGAAAGCTTTTGTCTTTGAATTGGCTTTGACCTCTTAAGCCTTTCAGTAAATTTAATTGCTGCTGCAGCAAAACCTGCCATCTGACTTCATTCAGCCCATTATATCCATTCATGAGTTTGGTTTTTTTTTTAAAGCTGTAGAAAGATATGTTGTCTCTTACTACATATGGGCAATGGGGGGTATGTGACCATAGCTCCAAGTGACCTCTGGACCATGACAAGTTTTGGTTTCAGTCTTATTAATGATGGCTGCTTCATGAACATTGCTTTTTTCACTGTTTCAGACCAAGTTATCACGTATATTGTTAGATGTAACTTTTGGTCAAAAAAGGACAGAACTAGGATTTTAAAAATCACTTTAAAAGTATATATCTGGAAACAACATTTTATTTATGCAATTATTTTTACAGTGAAAATACATAATAACCACTTTGCTAAAAAGTTATAGTAAAGCCAGGTGGTGTGGCATGTGCCTGTAATCCCAGCTACTGGGGAGGCTGAGGCGGGAGGAATCACTCGAGCCCAGGAGTGTGAGACCAGCCTTGGCAACGTAGTGAGACCCCACCTCTTAAAAAAAAAAAAAAAAAAAAAAGTTATAGTAAAGGGCAGAAAAAAATAAGCAACTATAATCCTTCCATTCTAATACAACTACTGTGGTCTGTTTCTTTCCAGTCTTTTTTTCTTATGTGCAGACTTTACATAGTTGTAAGCAGACATTTCAAAACCAATGTTTTTATCTAAGGGAACATAAATTTGGATGTATCAAAGGACTAAGTTAAAAAAAATTACACACCAGATGATGAATTACTAGGATTTTAACTTTCTCATGTATCGATTTCCAGTATGGTACTGTGTTAAGTTGTAAATAGAAAAAAGTACTGCTCATCGAGTAATCAGGGTTGTCATTTATTAGAAATGCAGTATTAAGATTGCAACATACTATAATTCTGAAATTAATCCTTGACATGATCTTCCCTTTTGAGAATCCTAGTGTTGGAAGGCAGGAATTTCTGCAAGTGATTCTCATCGGGGATCTCTGAGTAGCTTCTCAAAGGTGACTTAAACTCCAAGTCATGGTAGTTACATTAAAGAAAAAATTGGGCATACTCAGTGATACACATGTGCACATTGAGATGCAAAAATGCCAGCATAAGATAACTTATAAGAGGTATATTAAAGTCCTTTCAGGGTATATGTCCCGTCTTGCAGTTATAGAATACCTTTTTGTGTCTATGATGAGATGATGATCACAAAATTGGGATAGGTTTTTAGTTTTTATCTTCACTTGTGCCTAGAAGCCATCTTATTTGTTATGGGGACACCTTTATTATGCCCTGTACCAATGACTGACACTTTCCCTTGGAGGCTGAAAACTTCCTCCTTTGATTAGAAATTATTGAAATGAATGGTAAAAGTAGGTACAGAAGATGTGTGAAGGAATTAAGATGTAGTTGAAAGGATTCAAGCTCTGTGCTTGAATCTGGACCTATCCACCTAGGGATATATAGTGGAGATAGTAAATCCCACTCGACCTGACAGGGTAGCTGTGAGGATAGATTGAAATGTCTTAGGTGAATAGACTTTGTAAACTGTAAAGCTCAGTAAATGTCTTCATCTTCAAGCTGAATTGGAAAAATACACTTAAGGGTATTGTACATTAAACCATAATGAAGCACTTAAGAAACAAAACAGCCTGATCGTGACCCTGTTTTTTCTGTTTCCTTCCAGTCTTCAGGCAGTGACAGTGGTGGCAGCAGCAGTAGCAGCAGCAGCAGCAGCAGCAGCAGCATCAACAGCCCAGACAGGGCCAGTGGGCCAGAAGGCAGCTTAAGCCAGACCATTGCTGGATCCAGCCCTAACACCCCTCAGCCCATGCCCGAGCAGTCTGCACTGTGCCAAGGCCCTTACTTCCACATCAACCAGACCCTGAAGGAGGCCCACTTCCACAGCCTACAGCACCGAGGACGGCCTCCGACATGATGTGCCGGCAGTTTCTTGCCTTCTGTGAAGGGACAGCGCTGTGCAGATTGGATATTTCAACTTGCGATTCGTTTTAAAAAAAATTGCACACACACACAAAAATGCCTGTTGGCTTTTTGGTTTATATTTGAAATAACAGGTTAACAGGCAATTGTTTACTTGTGGTTTTGCTGCACTATTGCAATTTCAAAGGGGCTTTGAAGCAATTTTTTATAGGATTCTTCTGAGGGAGGGTGTCAAATCCATGTCAAGGTAGTGGTATGAGGAAATCTCATCTGTGTGTTGAATCCATAGTATGTCCAATTCAGACTGATTTCCAAATCTGTCAATTAGAAATTCTACTTTATGTAAAAGGGCCTTTTAAAAATGCGGGATCTTCAATTTTTTTAATTCAATAAACTAGTAAAGAGTATCTAGTTTCCATGAAAAAACAAAAGTTTTTTTTTCCAAAATACAGAAATCTTGATTCAGTCTTGCACTGAAATTAACTGCCAGACTACCTCTTAGTATGTAGATGTTCTATTGAACGTACTCTCCTTTGTAACGGGAGAACAATCAGATCCAATTTAGACTGTGAGAGAGAAGCACCCTTCCTAGTAATGGTCTCTACTCTTTGTTATATATTTGTATTTCCAGGGAGAATGTCTTTTAGACTCCTACATACTCAGATAACTTCTGTATTGATATTCGTCCAGAGTCTGGACCTAAGACTTTAGTAGGAAACACTGCACAGCTCTGAAAGCGAAGAAATACGTAATGACTTTTTGTCTTACTCACAAACTTGTTAAATCAGCAGCTTACCTGATGTCTGATAACTCCACCTTGTAGTGTCAATAATTAAGGCATTGATGAATGCTGATAAAGTGTAAGCTACCTGAACTGATGTTTAAAGCAACAAGTATTGTGAAACTATTGGACAAGGATTAAGTTTATGCTTAAAGTAACCCCTAACAGTAACTAGGGGCCACATTCCATCATTGGAACTGGATAGACTGGTGTGGCTTTGAAACAAATGAGCAGAGGCACCTTTAGAAGAAACAATGCAGTAGTATTTATTTAGAGAGAGGGATATGTTCTCATGTTACTTAGTCATACTAGAGAGCCAGCCAAGTTTGAATAATGAAGGTGCAGACGTGTCGTCTTCCTCACTGACGAGCTGTCTGAAAAAGGAGCCAGGAAGCATCGGGTCACCTGCTCTGGAGAGTGCCGGGGGGACAACCTGCCATTGGATGTAGAGGAAAGTGCCTTAGAGTCTCCCCGAGCCCTCCTGCCTGCTCACCCTCCACACCACGCCACTCGCAGTCCACACGGCACACAAGCAGGTCTGAGAAGCATGGATAGCTCTAGTCAGATGACTTTGTTTTTCAAGATTTGAAGAGGACATGGGGAACAGCATGAGATTTTATTATGTGACAGAACTAGAATTTGAAAATGACTGTCCTAGGAAAAGGGTAAACACATGCACCTCCTTTTCATGTTCTGTCCCTCTGCTCTGGGTAGGATTGGAAGGCCAGTCACTTGAAGTGGAAACGCGTGTTCTGGGGGAAGTTACAGCACAGGCCCATGCTTGGGGAGTGAGTGGTTTTTGCAAGAGCTTTTTCTTTGTTTTACTACCATCTCCCAAATTTTAAAAGAAGATATTTAATGAGGACTGTGGATCTTCATGGCTTTGGTATCAGGGAATATAGAAAGGATACACTGCTCATGTTTTGTCTAACAATAAGCAAACAACAAGTGAATGCTGTAAGAAGACAAGCTGTTTGAGCTCTCAAACACGTGTACACAGCACAATTCAGAAATACCCAGAAGGACTCCTGCAGGCTTAACGGATGGCACCCTACTGAAACAAAACGTGTATTAACAAGAAAACATAAAACCTGAGGAAGCAAATTTTCTTTTATCTACCATCCACCCAACTAAAAGACATGGAAGGTGAAACCATCACCAGAACAAAACAGATTTTTTCCAAATAAGTACAATCATAGTGCCAGGTTGGCAGTTAACTTTTACCCTACTAAATACGAGGGAGAATCTCCACCCTGTCCTGTATATTTTCTACAGCCGGGGCAGCCTGAGAAATATTTCTATCATGAAGCTACTTGGTAGTGTCAATGGGCTACTTTTAACACTTCTATTAGCTCGAGCTAGTAAGACCTTGTACTTCTCTATTGCGCCGCCATTAAAAGCAGCATTAGTGCATTTTGTCACTCAGTTCTTTATCAGTCATTTAAAAAGGAGCTCATTGGGTAGCTGGGTGGGAGATGGACACAGGATCAAGGGGTGGACCTCTTGCTGTTGGCACTAACCTGGGCTTTTGTTTCGACGCTTCTGCTGGCTGATTTCACCCTGCGAGCGCTCGTCATGCTCAGCGGGAGAAGTCCAAACCTCAAGATGAGAGGAAAGAATTTCAGTAGCACAAACAGGCAGCTTCAGGGCCCAGTGAAAGCCTCTTAGAATCATTTTCTTCTGTGGTCCCCAATCCCTAGTCCGTGGCCTGTTAGGAACTGGGCCATGCATGCCCCTTCCTGCCCCTCTGGGAAAACTGTCTTACATGAAACTTAGGAATCTGGGTGCACAGCAGGAGGTGAGCAGCCAGCTGTAGCCTCCCTCCCCGTTGCTCACTCGGCCCCCCCACCCGCACCCCAACCCATGGAAAAACTCTTCCATGAAACCAGTCCCAGGTGCCAGAAAGGTTGGGGGCCGCTGATTTACCTGATCTGACTCGATGCCAGTGGCAGTATGTTATGGGGTTCTTGGGAGTTGAATGTACTGCTCCGGGGGCTGAACTGATTCTCCGTACCAGTGACCAATCCAAATAGAACCTGACAGACAAGAAATGCAACACAATAAAACGCTGGGTTTCATTGTCCAGGTCAGGGAAGGTCACTTCTCTGTTCGTAATCAATCACTATTTCTAACCATCGTTTTGGGCAATGTTCTTTTGAGCGCATTAATGCATCAAAATTACTTTTTATTATTGCCCTGCAGGTCAGAATCTCATAGTCACATAGTTCTTTTATTTTTCTTTCTGAGGCTTGGATAAAACCTTAATAATCCTTATCTACAACTTAAGGGGTCAGATCATGTTTGCCTCAGCATATGAGATTTTATCTAATCCTCTTTCAGCCCTTATAACTACACACAGCTATTTGTGTCTTACCCCCCTCCCAAGGCTGCGTCCTGGAGAGTTAAGTGCAGGAGCAGGTTAATTCTGTAATTTGAGCCTGTGGCCCCGGAGTCACACGGAGCACGTTTGAGACTAGACTCACAGAAGTTCGCTGCACCAGACGATTGAGGTTGCTGTTGAGGTGTGGCGTGAAAACATCCAGGTCAAATGGATCAATGAGTGCTTCCAGGTGGTCAGTCACTTTCTCGATTCTGAGAAAAGGATTAGGATCATTATTCTCCGCATTTTTTAAGGATCAAAAACAACCTTACAGTATTATAATGCCACAGAAATCCTGGAGTTGGATTTTACTCTACTTAGCTGCTGGCTTAGGACATTTGTCACTGATGATTGTGCTTAAGTAATCCTCAAAGAGTTTCAACCTGACGTGGTGTCTAAGTGAAGTCCACTCCTTCCCCATGTTCTGGTTTTAGGGAGAGCAGTAAGGGCTCAAATGATCCTCCTCAACAGCTGTTAGGCTGACTCAGAGAGGAATGAGGGTCCACCTACTGCACTTGACCACGGAGTTTATCCAGCAGGTGGCCATTATTTAACTTGCCGGTAACATGAGCACTTACTATTTAAAACAAACACAAGGAATGTGCTATAGGAGGCTGATGCTTCTCTCCGGTGGCTTCCCAGCAAGGAGGCTCTTTGCGTTTGGAAGAGACTGTCTTGTAACAGCACAGTGGAGAGGATACTACACCTGGAGTCCGGTTTGCTTCGGCTGCTCTTCCCCTCTTCAGCCTTGGTTGTCAGAACGATGCTGAGATAACGCAGATCATAAAGCAGCTGCAGTGCCCGGTTCTGGGTTACTGGAAACGCACCTTCCTTCTGCAGGTGAATCCCGGTCCCCACCATGAAGAGAGATGATTTGTTACATGAGCAAAATAAGACGGCTTCATGTTTTGGTTGAGTTACAGCTTGCTATTTCAGAAGCAGATGCTTTTTATACTCACGTGGCCAGCTTAAAGCTCACAACCACAACAAACAGGTTATGTTAGACACTTGGTCTTTATTTTTTTGTTTGTTTTTCTTTAGGTAGGGTCTGGCTCTATCACCCAGGCTGGCGTGCAGTGGTGCGATCATAGCCCACTGCAACCTCAAACTCCTGGGCTCCTGAGTAGCTGGGACTACAAGTGCATGCCATCAGACCCAGCTAATTTTTTTATTTGTTGTAGAGACAGGGTCTCATCACGTTGTCCAGGCTGGTTTCAGAGTCCTGGCCATAAGTGATCCTCCCTTCTTGGCCTCCCAGTGTGCTGGGATTACAGGTGTCAGCCACTGCACCCAGCCTGACACTTAGTTTTAAACAAAACTAAACCTAACAGCAAGAAAGAGACCCAGCCCTTTAAAAAAAGGCCTCAGGTGCTATAAATGGTCATTTTATAGGGGAAAAAAGCTACCTATGGCACAACCTATGAAGGACAGGTATTTGGAGGAAGCTCATGAGCGAAGACTTAACTGAATTCTTTCCAAAGTCAGGATTGGTCCCTTCTTAGAAGTGTTACTAATGAAACGGGAATATACACCAAGGGCAGATGCCTCACAGAAGGCGAGAGGAAGTGGAGGGCTGGGAGACGAGAACTCCCCTGAAATGAGCACCTCTGTGCACCACAGGCTGTGCTCTGCAACTGGTCTAACCCCTCACAATCACCTGAGCTGGGGGTGGGGGCTCCAGTTACAAGTGAGGAAGCCGGCTGAGCAGTTTATGTGATCACATTTGATCCTGAGGAAACTGAGAGGTTAATGACTTGCCCAAAGCCCACAGTGCGCAAGTGGCAGCAGTGGACTTGGAAACCGGGCCTTTTGTTACTTTGAAGCTCTCATCCTTTCCATTTGCACTGAACGGTCTCTTAGCAAAGACCTGCTTGACCCCTGAGAGTGGGTGTTATTAAACGCATAGAGCTGGGAGCCACTCCTAATAAGAGAACATTTTTATTGGACCTGATGCCTGGGCTGGGTGATCCTTCACAGTTTGAATCCTTGATATGAACTGCCCAAACACAAGAAAAAGCTAAGGTTTTTATTTGTCTGTTTTTAATGGGAAAACATTCAAGCACCTACCTTAATCTGTTTCTCTTCTGAAAGTTTCTCATAGGCAGCTACCACTTGAACCATACAGCTTTTCAGCATCTCCTGCAGCGTCACCTTTGGCAGGGCATGGCCTCCAACCCGATTAATTTCCTGGCATAAGCTGAACAGGAAGGACTGCACATACCAGGACGGCTAAAAGAACAAGTGAAAGTCTTGTTGCCAACTCGGACCAATTAAATGCCGCGCAGTAAAAGTGGCTCCATTTACCCTCACGAGGCCTATAGGCCAGGACCTTGACCTCTCCGATTAAGCCTTCTTCCTGGCAGACCACGTAACAGATACAAAGCCCCTTGTGAAGTGCAATTTGCTGTCACCCCTCTGTGGTCTGATGTTGACCTGGCAGGTGGCACTGTGTTTTATGCTGCTGTTTTCACTTTAGAATGTGTGGTTCTGATTAACAGAGCCCATGCTACAAAAGGAAAGAACCACTAACTTTTTCTCAAATAGTCTGCTATTTACTTGGTGCTACATCCGCTATGCTCCCATAGTAGGAAGTTATAAGTATGACTTTCGGCTATTACTCAGAAGTTGTATGTTGAATGATTTTCTAAAATCTTTTTCTTTTCGACAGAACAGTTTTTTCCCTTTTTCAGCCCATGGTCCCTGCAACAGTGGGACTTACTCACCTGTATAGGGAGTCGGATCTTGGATGTGACACTGCTGCCGGACTCTGTTTCCTCCTGGATTTCTAGTTCATCCCAGCTGGTGGCTGTGGCCAGGACTGAGCCAGCATCATCTAAAAGTAATGACTGGGTGAATCCATGAATCAAAACCTGGTAATAAAAGGCAAACATTTTCCATATAAGCCATTCAGATCCTTTGTAGAGTATGTTCAAAATTATTAGCACCATACTGAGAACAGCTCATGCTGCTCAGGTCATGTGTGCAGTGGTTTGAGTGACAAACATCACTCTTCTTGTGCCTAATTATCGATGCCAGCAATGAGGACTTTGTTGCTAACTAACCTACAAATGTCAAATGCCATCTTATGGCATTCAGGCTGCAGAATGGGAAATGCAGACCTTTGTCACAGCAGAAAATCTTTCATTCTCATCTGATGGAAGGAAAAAATACAGGTTTTCTGTTTCCAAAATCTAGGCTAAAAATGAATGTTAAGGTTTTTACATTTGAATTCTCTGGCAGAAACAAAGTAAAAGTGTATGAAATAAGAACTATTATTTCCTTATTATTGAAGGGCCTCATTGAGGTTGGTGAGACCGAATATGCTAAAAATGAGATAAAATGGGCGTAAGAAGAAGTTATGTCACTCACTTTCAGGACCACTGAGCTCCAGACCCGGTAGCCCACGACACTCTGCTGGAGGAGTACTTCTTTAACTTCCTGCCACTTGGCCTGCGTCGGAATGATTTCCTGAGTTTTCCCCTTTCCCTGTTTCCTCAGAGCCCTAGACTCCCTTGCTGGTTTCTCAGAGCTGCCTGATTTTCCTAAGATACACTGCTTCAGGTGAGGGCACAGCTCTCCCAGGGACTGGCAGAGTCTGGCCATGAAAAGGACTGCGCGCAGCTTGACACTGTCGAGGGCGTCCTGCTGCCCTTGCACAACTTCTTCAATGCTCCGCAGCTCTGCCCGGATGCAGTCTGTGATGTGCTGGATGCATGCCACCGAGTGAGCCCGCAGCACTTCCTGCACAGTCCCCGCATCTGCGTATCTGTCAAAGGCAGAACGCTTGGCCTGTGTGGGGGAAATGTCCTTGGGCAGTGACAAGTCATCAGAGGGAAGGTAAGCCAGGAGGTCATCCAGGTGAACCTTCAGTTTTGAATCCAGGGCAGAGCAGAAGTTCTGGACGCAAGGGCTGACAGCTTGAGCTTTCATGGAGAGGCCACTGTAGGCCAACTGATGCCGGTTTGCCACGCTGACCCAGGCAGCATCAGCAGGCAGGTCGTTAGGACTCTCAGACCAGAGGAAGAGAGACAAGTTATGCTCAAAGTGGAGGTGCTTATTTGAGGTGGAGCTGCTGGTGCTGCTTTCAAGTTCCTGCAGAGCTGAAACCAGGAGCTCTTTGGAGCTGCTGGAGATGGACTCAAAGCCTTCTTTTGTCAGGGTCTAAAAGAATGAGAGAGAGTTCTAATCACAATTCCTTTAAGGAAATCTCAAAATTACCAAATGGCAATTTATCTGAGCATTCAGAATGTTCTCCACCACATTCAGAGAGATGACATGGTGTTGGCAAAGCACAAAGAAGCAATTACTAATGGACACGGCCATGTTCCCGACCAACTGACGGAGCTTGGCGTCTTTCAGCTCCAGATGCTGGATGTCTGTTAGTAAGCAGGGAAAGAAGTGACAGGAGTCTCCCCAGACAGTCAAAATACTACACTAGGATTGGCTGTGAAACAGGTGGACCTTGTGACTTTCTACCTCACCTGTAACCGGTCAAGGAAGAGTTGCTGCATCATATCCTCCCAGAACAAAAGTGGCTTCTCCAGAAGGCGCTGACATATCACATCCCAGCTGTGATTGGTGGACTCGTTGGTAAGTAACTCCCACATGGCATCCCGGATCCCTGCGAGACCTTTCACGCTCTTCACATACATCAGCAGATTGGTGATCCCGTTTTTAATGTCTTCATTACACCTGCCACAAAATCATTTCCCTTGGGCTCCATTACGTGCATAGTTTTCATCTTTATTAAGAAAAACGGCAGGATTCCATTTGCAAACCTTTGACCTGAGTCCCAATATATTAGTGTGTGTGTGTGTGTGTGTGTGTGTGTGTGTGTGTGTATTTCAGAGCATTTCTGGCTGGGTTGGGGTGTGCAGTCTGTTGCCCTCTTAGCAGGCCCACCCTTGCTTCCCTGAGAATATGAGGAAGTCTAGAGCCCCCAGGAATGGCTTCAAAAACCAATGCATTAAATAAAACCTTAGGAGTTGCAGAACTTTTACATAAAGAGAACTAAAAACCTTCCACACAATCTTCTCAAAGACAAATTCCTTCCTGGCTCTCCCACGGTGGGTGCTGAATGGCCACGAAGGCGACAATGGGCCTCAGGGAGAGTGGCGGACACACAGCACGTCATCTGTGGGATCAGGCTTCCCATTGATGCTTCACCGACCCTCCTACCGTCCCACGCGAGGCTGCACAGGTGGTTACTGCCAGCCTTAGGGAAGCACTGTCTGCCTACTTACATGTGGATCCACTTCTGCAGCGTGTCTTGCAGGTACTCCTGGCTGATGGGATGCGCGAGGGTGCGCAGCACTGGCTGGAACCCGACGACGGATGCCGGCAGGTGTTTGAACCAGCTGCAGAGTTTCATCTCCCCCTGCAGGACCCCCATGCCCTTTCCTAAAGAGAAGGCCAGTGAGAAGCAATCGAGGCCACCTTTTGAACAGCACATTAAAATGTGAACCTAGAAGGAATTTCCAAAAATCATCTAGTTTTTCTTTAGAAAGGTCGAACTGGGCTCCGGGAATAGGGGGGACAAGGAAGTACAGAATATGTCCAGGGCCCCCCATCAGGGAGCGGGGCAGCTTCCCCACAACTGTGGTCATCCTACTGGTTGAGAAGAATGGCGAACAAAGGTCAAAAGGAAAAAATGAGGGTCAAAAGAGTAGAAAGAAGAAATGAGTGCTGTGTAGTCCCTGGGACTTTGAAAGTAGAACTTACATTGTCAAAAAAAGTAAAAGTTAACGGTTTCCCTTTCCTCACCATCCTCCTCCCTCCCTTGAAGATCTAAGGAAAGAATCAATGACCACTCATCCTGATTAGTAAGTCATTCGTAGCTCTTCAGGGGTGACCTGTCGACAAGGGCACAGGCCCGTGCTCTGCCGCTCTGGGAGGCACCATCACTGCACCACAAGGCACCCTCTGGACTGTGAAACACAGGGCCTCTCCAAGGTACTGCTGCACTGTTTTCCAGTGCCATGACAAACCACCCAATGCCCAGCCTTCATGAGAGGGTAAAGTGTTAAATGTAAGCGCCTAGAGAGAAACCAAAGCATAAGGAGGTGGTGCTTAGTTGGAAGATAAAGTAAGCCAAGCGGCGGCTCTGTGATGCACGTCTCTCTTTCTCTGGAAATGGCCACTTGGCTATCACCATACTCAACTTGTTTCATTTCCATCTTCAGCTGCATCTCCTTAGTTGATTTTGCTGACACCCCCATTTGACCCCGGACTTCTGGAATTCCATAAGGCACAGTCTCTGGCATCTTTTCTTACTGATGATGTCATCCATTCCCATGGCTTCAAATAACAGCCCCATGCAGAAGCACCACAGGTTATGTCCCCAATCAGACATCCTACTGCTCTGTGGTGGGTCACAGGCACCTGCCCATGCTACAGCCCCACTTCAAAGTCCCAGGCATCTCCAATGCAACAAGTTCAAAGTCAGCCCATCATTGGCACCTTCAAACCAGCTCCTGTTCTAGTTAATCTGGACACCTCCCTTCCCTCACCTTCTACAGCCATACATCACCAATCCTCTCCTCCTACACAGATGTCCAAGCTGTCTGCTGACCCCCATCTCGACTGCTCCCGTCTAACCCAAGTCCCCAGCATCTGACACCTGGATCACGGTGGCAGCCTCCTAAGTGAGCTCTCAGCATCCATTCTAGCCCCACAGGGATCCACTGCCACATTAAAAAAAAAAAAAAAAGTTAGCTAAAAAGCTCACCGGTAGGATGCTGGCCTGTGACAGTCTCCAGAGTAGAGAAGAGCAAGCCACACGGCAGAGACGGATCAGGCAGCGCACCTTCTGGTAAAGTGTAGAAAAGGGCATGAGCTTGGTTCAGCGTGGCAGCCAGCAACTCCACCAACGAGCAAATCTGATCCTTGGCACCAGCACCTACGAGAAGAAACCATCCTCTGTTTCTCCTTTACAATTTCCTTTCGTACAGTTAAAGACAGAGAACGCTCTGAAGGCTGCAGTCTCCCTCAGCTCACCCTTCTCTATCCCACGCTTAAGGACCAAATGTTGGAGAGAAGCCGCACCCACCATGGTGTGGCTGGTTGAGAAGTTTCTGAATAGTTGCCTTTCTGGCCAGGAGGAAGTCTGTGAGGGCTTGGCGAGGAGAACTCTCTTCTAAGAGTATTATAGAGCACAATGCCTCGGCGACAGCTTGGTCAGACACAGCCTGGCATTTGAGCAACATCTTGCTCTCATGTAGAATAGCTGACCTAGAAAAACGATAACAAAGGGCAACAGGGAATTTTTAACATCTGGGGTGAAGAGCCTTGGTACATCAGGAAAGAAGACAGACTCCATAGAACTGTAGTGGTGAAGCTTGACCATCACCAGAGGGCTTTATGCCGGATCCACTTACCGGAAGTGGCTGGCTGCTGCCACCTGCCGGATGAGTATAGGAAACCGGGAGAGGACAGGGCTAGATCGGGAACTAGAAGAATCCAGCTGGAGCAGGCTGTGAAGGTGGCAGCAGAGCAGGTAGAGCTGTGTGGCGTGCAGATACTGAGAGGCTTCCATAGAGCTCCAGATCTTCTCAGGAATTTCTAATAGTAGCTTGATCTGGGCAGCCATGCTGTAGAAATTCTGCTGGGATGGCTGCTGTGGCTGCAGGGAAGGGCACAGAACTAAGTCAGAAGAGCACACAAAAGCAAGGTCAGTTTTCTGCAGGCTTGGGGAAAAATTGGGGGGCATTTTAGAATACAAAGCTTTCATTAAGCGGGACTCAATGCCACTCAGCAAGGCATCAAATTCCCGTGCAGTATAGTTGCTGGAGTGCTGTATGAGCTCACGGTTTTTCCTATGCGTGCGTGCACCTTTGCTGGGTCCTGTGGAGAGGCAAACTCTCATCTCACCATCTGGCCATCAGCGGTTCTCTTGAAGTCTCAATGGCAGCGAGCTCTGCAGACTACCAACTGTGCGAGCTTTCTCCTTCCTTTTCTGATGTTCAGCCTTCCTACTGTTCCTCCTGCTTCCTCGAGGGCACCATGGACTTCTTTGCTGACTGTTCCTCTTCACCAACCCTGTACCAAATCTTCATCTGGTTCAGTCTTTGGGCCTCTACTCATCTCAGCCCACCCTCTTAGGATTCTCTTCCCTCAAACATCCCCTCACTAATGGATTAGTGCCTTATAAAAGGGCTGGAGGGAACTAGCTGGGGCTCTTTCATGTTCTTCCACCTTCTACCACATGAGGAACGGCAAGAAGGCCCTCAGCAGACATCAAACACCAGTGCCTTGATCCTGGACTTCCTCGACCCCAGAACTGTGCAAAAGTAAATTTCGGTTCTTTATAAATTATGCAACCTCAGGTATTTTGTTATAGTAGCACAAATGGACTAAGACACCCATATTCCAAATCTCATCTGTCTGTAAGTCCTCTCCTTACTAAGAAGAACCCAAAGCCTACGCTTGGGGTAAATGTATATAATTATTTTGGGAATTAATCACCAATTATCATAAATCTTTCCTACTGTTATTCTAAATTATTTACCTTTTTATGGTCAACTTTCCATGGATTTATTTCCTTAACTAGATTGTAAGCTCCTTTAGAGCAGGAATTGGGGGACTTGTATTTCTTTTTTACTTGAACAGAGAAGGCACTCAAGTTTTTATGGGTTTGACTGAGAATAAGTCAGATATAACTATTATGAAAATCAGTAATTTCTAAAATCAGGCATAGTACAAGTTGCCTTTTTAATAAGCCCGGAAGCATGACTCAAGTTACAGTGAAGGCTGGCCACCTAAGGGTGGACATGTACTAAATGCTCAGCTTTGGAAGGGATGGGGTCACTCATTTCAAACGTTTGTGACATATTTCCAACTTTCTATAGTTCTCTTGTGTCAGCCCAGGCTACTGACCTGGATTTTTCTAAAACCCAAGTAGCATGAAAAAGTTCCAAACTGGAGCTAGATTGTACTTGTGCAATTTCTTCTTCCATGTCCCAGTAAATTCTTCTCCCAGGTTGTAAAGAACAACTTCCCTGTTTACCTTTTCACCCTCATGCCACTTTACTTTGTTCCTCCCTGGGTCAACATTCTTTGGGCACACAAGATGCTGCTCCAATATCAGGATGCGTTTATTGCCTCATCTTTCCACCTCGCGTCTAATCAATAGCATTCGGGGAGAAGAACGCAGGAGAACCTGAATTAGAAGAGCCTTAGTTCAGCTACTAAAAGGTAAGGGCTTGAAGGCCAGTACCACCTTCCAACAACTCCCAAAGGGTGGAACAGCTGTTTGGGATTGTGGAAGTTATTCCTGGGGTGGGATCTGGGGCAAGGCTGGGATGAGGAACAAATGACTTGGGGGAAGGTGTTAACACAAAGGAGAAATCTGTCCTAAGAAAAACAATGTCAGGAAATGTTATACAGGGAAGAGTTGAGCTGTCTAGACAGAGACCCCTGGCGTTTTCCGCTATAAGTGAAAGGAGCCCAGGGAACCCAGAGTGAGGTGAGGGAACTGGGGCGCGGAAGTCGGGGAAGTCTCCTGAAGAAACAGCTGGAAGACTTCTCCAGAACGGATCAGCAGCCCGCGAAAGGACCGCCGGCACTGTCCCCTGAGGAGGGGAGTCGGAAGGGAGAGACGCGGGCTCCTCCCGGGAAGGTGAGGATTCGCGGGTCGGAGACCGACGGACTGGGACGGGCCCGCGGGGGTCGGAAAGTTGGCAGGCGGGGACTGCCAGGGGGTCCGCGCGGCCTACGGGAGCGTGGGGAGGACCTGGGGGGACCGGGACTGACCTGCTGGTCCCGCGGGGGCGGGGCGCGGACTGACCTGCGCGGTGGCAGGGATGGGGCGCAAGGACCGACCTACGTGGGGGGACTGACCTGCGGGTCCTGCGCCGGGTGGGGCGCGGCCGAGCCGGCGTGGCGGAGGCGGGCGCAGTACTGGTCGGTAGCCTTGACGGCGTCCACCAGCCCCTCGGCGCAGCGGCGCATCTGCCCGATGGTGTCGGCCGCCTCGATCAGGTCGCGGTACCGCTCGCCCACCATCTGCCGCAGCTCCTCCTTCTTGTGCTCGATCTCGGCCCGAACCTGGCGCTCCAGCCCGCGGATCTCCTCCGCTCCATGGGTCTCGAAAAGCGCCGCGGGGTCGCGCAGATCCAGCCGCTTCAGCGCGGAGGAGGCGGCCACGGCCGCCATGATGCACCCGTCAGACGTCCACTAGCTACTTCCGCTTTGCCAGCCCCGCCTCTCCGCCATCTTGTTTGGGGGCGGAAGCCCTTCCGCCCCGCCGGGGCCATGTTTGTTCCGGGCTTCTCCTGCGCCGCCGAGAGCCCGGGCAGGTGGTGGGCGGCGCGCCCTGGCGCGGTGAAGGAACCTGGGCGGTTAGGTGAGGTCGCTAGGCTGACCGTGCCTTTGCTAAGCTGGCCGAAGCCCTGCGTGACCTGAAACCCCCCAGCGCCAGCGGAGCCTTTCCTGTTGGAAGAGCTCCGTCGTCGAGTTCGCGGTGGGCATTAAGTTCTGCGGGCCCGCAGGTGTGGCCCGAACCGCCGCCCATTCCCGCCCTGGCTCGCGGGCTGCAGCGGCGGAGGCGCGTTCGCGGCTATTTTCCTGTGGTCATTGACCCAATGCAGTTTTAGAAAAAGAGTTTGAGTCCTTCGTTCATTGTAAAGGATTACTTCGCTGCCCCTTAAGGGGTACCTGAGCGCTTGTTTCTCTTTAAATGTTGATTCCTTCATTGGGGTTTTCCATTTTGTTTCAGATCTACATTTGGCCACTACAGACGTTTGCCCTGCCATGGCCTCACTGCGTGGCCCGCGGGGAACGTGGGGCAGAAAGGCAAAGGGCACCGTGCCCGAGGGGTGGGGGGCTCCTGGGGTTGACCCAGTAATAATGCAATTTGGGGATTGTGATCTTGTTTCTTCTAAGTAAGTCCAACACTCTTTATTTAAAAAAAAAAAAAAATTTACGATGGAAGCTTTTATACCCAACACTAATACAGAAAAAATGGCATGATGTGCCCAGCGGCAGGTTCCACCCTTACTAACTCGTGGTCCGACTTATCTGCAGCACCACCTGCCACCTCCAGTATTTTGAGGCAAATCCCAGACATCAAAGAAGTTCAACCTGTACATAAACGATTAATTTATAATATTCTAGTTTACCTCTCCATAGCCCCCCAGTGTAGGGAGTATCATTCCCACTTTACAGATGGGTAAGCCGGGACCGGGAGAGGCAAATGGTTTCACTCAGTACAATTGTCCAAGCGTGTCCTCAAAATTACCTCATTGGATACAAACACCAGCCCTGCAATTAATGCCTAGTCTGTGCATGACAAAAACCCAGAGAAGTTTATTTACGTGCCCAAATCACCTAGCTAATAAGTAACCCAGTCAGCACTTGGGCCTTAGAGTTTTGAATTCCTGGCTCCAGCCCTTTTCTACTTTTTCACATAATTTTCCACAAACTCAGAGCGCCCCCTGATGGCAGGCCTGCAATTTGCCGCCTCTGCAGTCCCATTCTGCAGGGCACAATTATTGGTATTCGGCTGCTCAGCGTCTGCAGACTGTTTTCTATATTTGGCGAATTCATGTTAGCCTGGTAGTATCTTTTCCCCTGGACCTTTTGCAGCTACGGTGCAAGCCTGTGGCCTGAGACTTTGAGTGGAGAGCTAGTGAAGAAGCAGGTGACATTGAGATTTCATTTTGGAGGTGGCACAGGTATTGCCTGCAGCATCCACTCCTCAGGGTCAGCTGGGGCAGTGAGTCCAGCTGCAGCTCCTTGCTGGCAGTGGTGCTGGTGGCAGCTGTGGGCATCCACAATGATGTCCTCACCAGAATCATCACCCTGTGGTATGCTTTGACTGGGTTCTGAATGTTACCTTCCCTTCATTCCTGCCTGTCGCGTGAGCCTGGTTCCCCAGCTTTCCCAGAGAGTCTATGAGCTGTCCAATGTCTTACTGATAAATTTTCTTTTTTGAAAAAATCAGAATCAGTTCTCTTGCTTGCCCTAGCCCTAATGGACATACAACTCCTCTGAGCTTCCAGCTCCATGAGAATTTGGCTGAAGTCTTTCTAACAGGAAGGGGAGAAATGTCAACACATCGGGTAGGGTCTAGGGGCCTGGAGCTTTGTATAAGATGATTTACACTTGTGCACAATACCTGTAAGCTCAGGTGGAGAAAAGGCAAGCGGGCCAGCTGTCTCCACTGCAGAGCTGAGTTTTGAAATCAGGGCATCCCCTGCCTTTCCTCTGTATTTCCCTGGCCAAGTTCATCTGACTGGCCTGAAGATGCCACTGTTGCTCCTCTGCCTGCAGAACTGAGCACTGACAGAGGCTGTTACTAAACTTTCTTAGCCTAGAAACTGGAAAAGTTCCCAGGACCCACAGGAAATGTGGCTTTGACGCTTTGCTCTCCGCGTTTCCTTTCCTTGCTCCCTGCATCCTGGGAGCAGCCCTGTCCCCTTCTCCTTCTGCATATCAAAACCAGGTGAAAGCTTCAGTAGCTGGACCAGGCAGACCAGGCACCATGCTGGGGACAGAGATGAAAACCTAGAGTCTTTTCTCAAGGTATTAGGAGATATATGAGTGAAAGAGACACCTTTTTGCTTTATTGCCATAGTTTTGTTTTGGTTTAGGGATGAGTATGTGTGTGTATTGTGTGATGACTCTTAATGTCAAGCTTTCTTCCTTTCACCTTAAATCCTGAGTTGTAGAATTTTAAATATCAAATGTTTAAGTTCAAGAGATTATGTTCAGATCATCCTGGGGCCCTGAAATCAAACCTAGGCATTCTGCCCATAGTCATAGCACTGTCTCGACACTCTAAATGTATTGCCTCTAGTTTTTACAGTAATTCTATGGCATAGATGGTATGGCACTCATTTTATAGATAAAACCAAGGTTCAGCAAGACCAAGCAACCTGCCTGAGGTCACACAGCTAGTCAGTGGCAGAGCCTGTCTTCAGATCCCTGTGAGTCCGATTCTAGCAGTCCTTGATCCTTCTACTTTGTCACATTATTAAAGAAAATTTCAGAACATGGAGAGACAGATGGCCCAAATCACTCTGAGAACCATTCAGACAGTACCCACACTGCTCCTTGCCCTCTGCCTGAGTGTGGGTCTCTGCAATTGTACAGTCAGTTTGGGGACCCAAGCTGGAGTGACATATGGGGTGGCCATGCCTGACAGCCCAGTGTCTGCATGCTGGAGGGCCATCTTTCAAAACCAGGGACGTATTCTGACACTTTTACTTTCTCTAGGCGCATCAGTACTCTCTTATCTCATTCAGAACATCAAGGGGGCAGATTTCCCCTTACTTTTTAATAGAAATATAGAAAGCAAGCCAGAAAAATGCCTAAAATAGAAGGATTTTTAACAGATTTTTGCATATTTTCACAGATACCACATGTTCTTCCTGTATGCAGTATGTGGTCTAGCATCTGAGAGCCCGGATCCATTAGACCGTGGCTCCCAGACCAAATGAGTCGATGACTATTTGCAAAATATGTCATGCATATATGTTACATAATCACAAAGTATCTTCGCAAAAGATGCATTGCCTTGGAAAAGGCATAAGGGTCTTTTACCATCGATTGCCTAATAGCTGAAATAATAAAAGCAGTAAGACTCACCCACATCACACCCAGTCCCACCCTTGTTCCAATACCTCCGCTTTGATGTAAGTTGGCTGCATTTTTAGCACATCCATATAGAAAAGGAAGAGTGAACCTGCTGAACCTTATACCTGTACCCTGATGACATGGGGGGGGCTGGGACATTCTCTGAAAAGAGTCAGGATGGATTGGGGGCTGGGCACAACCAGAGAAGAGATAATAAGTGGAAGAGACAAAATTACACAGGAAAATGAAAATAAGAAATTTAACTGTGGCTAAGCTAGGAGAGAAAGCAAGAAGGAAGAAAAAAAGAAAGGAGAGGAGTCTGATCACAAATTAACAGAGGAAGAAAGAAAGGGAAATTTGATATAGTAAAGGACAGGCTGTGTCCATTAAAGTAATGTCAGGGCTGGGCAGGAGGTTGAATTCCACACTATTGCCTGGTGGGATCCAGACATGTGGTGTTTGCTCTTGGCTGGGATGCCAGCGGGGTCAAGAGAGCCCTGATGCGGTTGTCTTGACATCTTATCTTTATGGCAGTGTTTATCAGCTTGTGTCTACTGGAGGTGACATTTGTGGCAGAAGGGGTGGTTATTTGACTTAACTGTTTGCAGATACCTGAGACTCTGCCTTCAACAAACAGGCAGGCAGGCCTCACACCTGAGAGAGGGAGCCTGCGCGTCTGGGCTCCCACGCCTTCCACACGCTGGCTCAAAAGGGCTATAGCCAAGTTCCCACTCCAGACTTTCTGTCCCTCACCTCACTGGTGTGTGTTCCGCACATCCCGTGTTAACTGGCTCCGTGCGGGGTGCTATGGGGAATACGAAAGATATCTGGTCGAAGGTCAGTGGTTCTGTAACAACCTCATACTTCCTTGCAAACCTTCCTACTGTTCCACCCCAGCAGATGAGTTTTTCTCATACGTGTTCAGAAAACAGAAATACCAGGCAGAAGCGTTCTCATGCTCTCTCCGTGAAATCTTGCAACCTGCCTGATGATGCGCTCACACCTCCTACCCTCTCTCCTGCTGTGCAGGACAAGGGGTCCTCCTCCTTGGAGTTCTCCATTCGATCTTTGGTTCCTGCC